AAAGATGAAGGAAAAAAAAATATATTTATATCTATATATATATGGTGTGCACGGTGAATAGCACTTCCACTGAATGATGAACTAGATATAAATAAAAGTAACAGTGTTGCAAAGAATAATAGCAATGTTGCAAATAATAGCAAAAAGGCAACAAAGTGACTGGGACTGTGTATTTGAAGCAGTCAATCAATTGCTATAGACTGAAGTAAGGTAAAACAAACTGGATATAGTAAAAAAAACTGTTTATTATAAACAACAATAAAAATTACTTAAATAGGTATAAAAACCAAAAAATATAGGTCAGAAACAGTAGATGATATTGTTACCAGTCTTATGAAAGTGGACAGATGTTGTAAACCCTCGGACTGGCTGAGGATGGATGTGGATTGAATAATGCCAATTCGTCTCCTGAATGCAGGAAATAATAGGGATTCACAAAAACCTATAACTAATAACAGGAAGGGCCCTCTAGGGGATAGTGCATGGATACCAGGAGCTGACTAGTGAAAATAACTTAAAATCTGATAAAGTGACTAATATATAAAATGAGTGTTACGATTGCCCCCGGTCTAGCAGGGGGGGGGTTGATCGCTTAGAGGTTCTGGTTCCCGCTGTAGAGAGTCGAACGGAGTTCCTTCGGTAATAAGCTGCAAGTGTAGAGTATTCCAACCACGATATAAGCAATAATATTCCGGATCCCTACAACATGAGTCGAGGCTGCAAGTTGAGGGTCAAAACGAACTGATTTTACTGGCACACAAACATGGCAATTTATGCGATTCCTCAGGTCCAAGGACAGCCCCTTGTGGACCTGATGGAATACAGGTACAGTACAAACAGGTAACCAATCACAGTACAGTGTATCATTTGAATTAGTACCAGCCCAGCTTGGAGATAATGAAGCCAACGGTTATACAATCTAATTATCTCCAAGCGCACAAAAGACCATGTTTTATTATGCCTCATAAAACTGTATAAAAATACATAACTTCCACATTAATAAGGGAAAACAGTTCATTCTACCATTCATTCAATAGCTCGTGTTCGGGTACATTAAACATACGAATGGCGTTCCAACCCCACGAACAGAATGATCTATTTATGCCGTATAAAGTCCGTTCGGTGTTTTGGATTGTGAGTCCCTGATGGCGGCCATGTTTTTAGACGGTTTAACGAGCAGCGGGACTTCGCCTCTAACTTATGGAACTGAACTCGGGTATAAGTTCATGCGAATCCCCGCTGTCTGTCTGGTAGTGGAACTCGTTCGGTACATGAATTAGGACCACCTGGTAGCACGGTACTTGAGTTGCAGTTAACCGCAGAAACCACAGGCTAATTGCTGCCACACGACCCACTGTAGGGGGTCTCCGTTCGTGAGGTTATTCGGTAGTTCCCCTTCGGTGATTTGTGGGCAAACGTCGATCCTCCTTGCCCGTCAATTAGTCTGTGGTTAACCGCAGACCGCAGCCGCCTGGGTGGTTAATGGGCGTCACACTCCGCTTGTCGGGTGGTCGGCCATTCGGTACTTAGCACTTGGGTCTTAGTGTGTGGGGTGGGCCAGTTTGTGACCGCCTCTATCTTAGCCGGCTCCGGTCACTGCTTCCCGCATCCTACTCGGTGGCCCAGGTACCTCAACCATCCCAAAGTGGCATTTCTCTGGCTTCAGGGTCAGGCCCGCGGCCCGAATCTGATCCAGGACTATTCCCACATGAGCTAAGTGTTCCTCCCAGGACTCACTATGGATCGCTATGTTGTCCAGGTATGCACAGGAAAATTCCTGGAAGCCATCAAGGAGTCTGTCCACCAAGCGCTGGAATGTGGCGGGGGCATTCTTCATCCCGAACGGCATGACCTTAAAGTGGTACAAACCGAACGGGGTGACGAATGCCGATTTGGGGACAGCCTCCCTGGCCAGAGGGATTTGCCAATAACCTTTACAGAGGTCAATGGTAGTTAGGTAGTTCCCCCTGGCTATGCGATCCAGCAGCTCATCCACTCTGGGCATGGGATAAGCATCGGTGACGGTCTTGTCATTGAGTTTCCGATAGTCCACACAGAATCTGGTAGTACCGTCTTTCTTGGGTACCAGAACCACCGGGGATGCCCAGGGACTATCGGAAGCTTCAATGACCCCTAGCCGGAGCATCTCATCTATTTCCTGTTTCATGCCTGCCCGAACTGCCTCCGGAATTCGGTAGGGGGCCTGTCTTAAAGGGTTTTGCCCAGGGGTATCTACTTGGTGGGTGGCCAGATCAGTGCACCCTGGCTCCTGAGAAAACATTGCTTGTTTCTCTCGGAGCAGTTTGTGTAGCTGCTCCCTCTCTGCTGGGTTAAGTCTGTCCCCGATCTGCACTTGGTTCACTACTTCAGACGGGGAGTTGGGCGTCAATAAGTCGGGTATGGGGAGACTGCGTGCTCAAACGCAGGACTACATATGGCTGACACCTCCTCTGGCCTCTGTAGGTATTCTTTCAGCATATTCACGTGAAATATCTTTCGTAGGGTCTCATCGTGACAGCTGGCAATCACATATGTAGTGTCCCTCCTTTTCTCCAGTATCTGGTAAGAACCCTGCCAGGCTGCTTGCAGCTTGTCTGCTTTAACTGGTTTTAGTACCATAACCTTCTGTCCTATACAGAAGCTCCTCCGCCGTGCCCCCCGGTCGTACCAGACTTTCTGTCGCCCCTGGGCCCGGACTGACTTAGCCAACTGCTCCATACGGTCCCGCAGCTCCAGCACGTATGGCACGATGGGGACCCCGGCGTTCTCTGTCTCTCCCTCCCAGTTCAGGGGGCCCCGTACCTTACGACAGTACAGCAGCTCAAAGGGAGAGAATCCGGTGGTTTCCTGGGGCACCTCCCGGTAAGCAAACAGGAGATGCGGCAGGAAACGTTCCCAGTCTCTATACTCCTGAGTGAAAGTTTTTAGCATTTGTTTGAGGGTTCCATTGAACCTCTCACATAACCCATTGGTCTGAGGGTGATACGGGGAGCTAAGGAGGGATTTTATCTTGCAGACATGCCATAGCTGCTGGGTTAGCTCTGCCGTGAACTGAGTCCCCCTGTCAGATAGGATCTCCCAAGGGAATCCTACCCGAGAGAATACCTGCACTAACGCATTAGCCACAGTGTCTGCCTGGATATTAGATAAAGCCACGGCTTCCGGGTAGCGGGTAGCATAGTCCACGATGGTAAGAATATATCTCTTACCAGATGGACTGGGGGTGGCTAGAGACCCAACTAAGTCGATAACCACCCGGCTAAACGGCTCTTCGATAATGGGCATGTTAACGAGGTGTGCCTTGGGGTGGTCTCCTCTCTTACCTACCCTTTGCAGACCTCACACGTATTACAATAGGTCCTCACATCTGCATGTACCCCTGGCCAGAACAGGGTAGGGGTAATGCGGTGAAGGGTACGGGTTACTGCCAAGTGTCCGGCTAAGGGAATATCGTGGCCAACCCGGAGGATATCTCATCTATATTTGTGGGGTATCACTAGCTGTCTCCTATGGTGGCCCTTCTTCTCTGTGTGTCGGTATAGTTGGCCCTGTTCCCATGCAAAAGTCTCCTGGTCTGTTCCCCCAGTCCCTGTATCAGCTCTCTCCCTATACTTTTGGAGCGTCGGATCAGTTTTGGTCTCAGCCTCAAAGGCTGCAGGGGTGTCCCAGGGTAATGGGGCAGGAGGGGTGGTCACAGTCGGGTTAAGTCTTACCTGAGTCTCCCGCACTGGTGAAGGGTCTCGAACTCGCCCTGCTTGCGACCGGGTAGTCACTGGATGTGCCTCAGAGTTGTAGGAAGGTGCATATGCTGAAGTCATGGGACCCAGGTCGTTTCCCAGCAGAACTTCAGCCGGTAAGTTATCCATAATCCCCACCCTCACAAGTCCTTTCCCCGCACCCCAATCCAAATGTACCTTTGCTGTGGGTAGTTTGTATATGTCCCCTGCGGCCACCCTGACCACGACAGTGTCTGTAGAGCGCTTGTGCTCGGGGACTAGTCGGCTTTGCACCAAGGTGATCGTGGCCCCGATGTCTCTCAACCCCTGAGTGGGACGACCCTCCAGTAGCACTTCTTGCCTGTGATGTTGCCTATTGTCACTTGCGGCATACACGGGGTTAGCTTCATGTAGGGGTCCCAGGTATTCCTTTAAAGGGCTGTCCTGCTCGAGGCAAAAAGCTCGGGCTGGGCGATTACTTCCCGTCGGAGACGAATTATAGTTATTGTTGAGGGGGCAATTAGCAATCAGGTGCCCCGGTTGCTTGCACTTGTAACAGGTGGGACGGGAGCGCTACTGGTTGTAGTGGCTGGGTGGTCCCGTGTACCGTGTAGGTCCCGCTGGTACAGGCGTGCAAAACTCAGTTCGTGGGGTTGTTCGGTACACCTCTCGTGTTTCGGGGCGAGCTATCGTTCGGGATGTACTGAACTCCTGAACCTGAGCATCCCGGCGTTCGTCCGCCAGCCTTGCTGCTTTGTGCAGATTAGTGGGACGTCGGTCTTTCAACCACTCTCTGTCTTTTTGTTCTAGGCCCTCGTAAAAATGTTCCAACAAAAATAGTTCTAATATTTCCGCTGCTGTGACGGCCCGACACCCGGTAATCCAATGTGTAGCAGCTCTCCGCATTCGGTGGGCCCATTCGGCATGGGTATCATTCGCCTTCTTTTTCGTATTGCGGAGCTGTCTTCGGTAGGTGTCCGGGGTCACAGCGTACCCTTTCAGTAGCGTCTCCTTTACTGTGGGGTATTGGGCTATTTCTTCGGCGCTGAGTGTCCTGAAGGCTTCCATGGCCCGCCCGGTTAACTTCCCCGCTAGGATACGCGGCCACGCTGTAACGGGTATTTGATGTAGGGCACATTGTCTTTCGAAATCGGCTAAAAACTCGTCTATCCCCATCTCGTTCTCCACGAACGGCTTGAATGCCGCGAACGGAATCTTCGGCTGCTCCGCAGGTTCCGGGAAGCCGTTGTGACCATTAGCGGCGGCTCCCTGCTGTGCGGTCACCATGTTGAGTTCGTGGGTTCTAGCCCGTTGTATGTCCGCCTCGGCCTCTGCCATCAGTTGCTGCACCAGCTCTACGGAGGGGTTCAGCCCATATAGAGTAAGTCTTTCCCGGACAATCCTTGCCTTTTCGTCACTGGGGGTTACCGTTGGTTCTGCCATGGTGAAGCTTTGATCCAACTCGTTTAGGTCGGCAATCAACTCTCTCCTTGGCCGGTTACTTGCGTTTCCCCCTCAGCTCTCAAGTAAATCCTTTAGCATGGTACGTTTCAACTTATCGTAGTTGCTCTCCATCCGTCCTATATCTCTCTCAGGAATTCCAGGATGATCCCGCCGCTGCCACCAATTGTTACAATGAGTAAAAAAAGAATGTGTAAAATGTTGGGTACTGTGCCTTTAAGAACTGCAAAACAAAACAGAAGTGAAGGTATAAATGCTAGGTGACATATAAATGCAGTGAATATATGCCAAACTAAAAACTAAAAGACGTGCCCATAAAAATGTATGGAGACAGTATGTGTCAAAAAGATGAAGGAAAAAATATATATATATATCTATATTTAAAAACCGAGAACCTTGGCACTCACCCTTTAATATTCAAGACCAATCTATCCTTGCCTGGGTGCAGTCCTCAGCGTTTAGTATAGAACAAAAAATATGTACAAGGAGCACTCACAGGTCTTCATCAAACTTCTAATTTATTCGTTAGTGCAAGTTACATGTGCAGGTTTAGATGATCAACGTTTCGACCCTTACAAGGTCTTCTTCAAGATCTTGAAGTATATATATATATATATATGGTGTGCACGGTGAATAGCACTTAGAAGTAACAGTGTTGCAAAAAATAATACCAATGTTGCAAATAATAGCAAAAAGGCAACAAAGTCACTGGGACTGTGTATTTGAAGCAGTCAATCAATTGCTCTAGACTGAAGTAAGGTAAAACAAACTGGATATAGTAAAAAAAACAGTTTATTATAAACAACAACAAAAATTATTTAAATAGGTATTAAAACCAAAAAATATAGGTCGGGAACAGTAGATGATATTGTTAACAGTCTTATGAAAGTGGACAGATGTTGTAAACCCTCGGACTGGCTGAGGATGGATGTGGAATGAATAATGCCAATTCGTCTCCTGAATGCAGCTGCTGGTGAGGACGGCATGCGTCTGGATGTGCGCCCCAACAAGACCTCACTCCAGGGGACGGACAGAGCTTTTTAATAATGTTTATTTTTTAATTTAAATTAAAAATATATATTTATGTCCCCCCTTCCTTCTTACCTTTATTGAGGAGGATGGGGGACATTTCTCCATCCCTGGTGGTCTGGTGGGTAATCCCTGGTGGTCCCAGTGGTGGTGAGAGTGAACTCTAGCCCGACGCTCGTAGCTCACTATTGGGAGATTTGGAGCATTGCCATGGTAACCGTGGCAATGCTCCATGCTCGCGAGAGAAGGACCTGGAGGAGCTGCAGGCTGAGCTCCCAGGTCCTCTCTCCCTCCCCCCGCCGGCTGCCAGCACAGTGCCTGCGCACCGGGGAGGGAGATCTCTGATCTCCCTCCATGGTCCGCAGGCACATTGCAGGGCTGGCACTTGGACAATGCCAGCCTTGCATTAGCTGGCAGGGGAGAATCTCGGTGGGGGGGGGGGCAATTACCCAGTTACCCTCCCCCTGGATCCCCCACTGTAAGGAACATCGGTGCGCAAGTCAGGTAAGTGATAGAAGGGGGTGTGCTAGGGAAGGGGGCACTGCAGTACCAGGTAAACACCTTTGTTTTCCTGGCACAATAGTTTCCCTTTAAGTCTACTTGTCTGATGGTAGAATAAACAATGTTGTCATCAGTGAATTGGGGAGCTGGTCTTTTTCTTTTCTTCATTTTTCTGACCAAGCTGGTTTTAAGTAAATAAAGTTTGGGGACTCAAGAGGCAAATTGTTTTCACTACAATATTTTCACAACTTATACTAATAGTCCTACACACTATGTATTTTATATTAATTGTCATTATCTACACTTCCCTGCGTTACATACTTAAAGGACCACTATAGGCACCCAGACCACTTCAGCTCAATGAAGTGGTCTGGGTGCCAGGTACCTCTGGTTTTAACCTTGCAGCTGAAAACATAGCAGTTTCATTGAAGGTTAATCCAGCCTCTAGTGGCTGTCTCTCTGACAGCCGCTAGAGGCACGTCCGCAATTCTCAGTGTGAAAATCAATGAGTAATGTTTTCCTATGGGTGGTTTGAACGCGCATTCGGAGCTGATGTCGGCAGGGGGAGGAGAGGTCACCAGCGTGGATTAAGGTAAGTGGCTGAAGGAGTTTTAACCCATTCTGCCCAGCAGGAGAAGGGCCCTGAGGGGGGGGACCTAATAACACTATAGTGCCAGGAAAACGAGTTTGTTTTCCTGGCACTATAGTGCTCCTGTAACTTTTTATTGATTTAATTTTTTAAAAAATGTAATGTTTATTATAAATGTAATCTGTTAAAATCTGTTAAAAATATGTTAAAATTATTATAAATGCAATCTGTTTCTTTAATCTGTTGCTTCTGGAATTATTTTGCTAAATATCAAATTTGAGCAGTAAATAATATAAACCACTATACCTCCAGGCACTCTGAAACTTTTTATTACTGCTGCCATTTTTATTACAGTTCCATGCAGATAGTTGTGTTTATTAGATTTTATCGGACAGAGATGGAATGTCACTGATATAACGAAACAAGGGGTTTCTTTCTTTTTATTACTTTTTATTGTGTTTACTTTTCTTGCCAGTATTTGAGACTTGATAGAATAGCTGTGAAATTTAAAAATAATACATAAAATTTATCTTTTGAGAAGTCAGTTGAATGGGAAATCAAAGTGCTTATGTTCTCTGTAAAAATATAATTGACCTTAAAGTATATTGTCTCAAAGTTTGCACCTGCTGCATTTTCAAACTGCTTAGTTATATTTTGGGGTCTTGTTCCACTGTCCCGCATCTGGGGACGCCAAGGAACTGTTCAGCACAGCGCGAGCATATCATTAGATGCTGTGCAGTACGCTTCAGCAGCACTCCCTCTATGGTCCGTAAGGCTTGGGGCTGTCCAGGTGTCCAGGAAGTCTGTTGCTTTTCTGGAGGTCCACCCATTATGATCATGTTGCTGGCAATGCCCCATAGAGTACCGATCCCGATTCCCCTGTCCAGGTAGTTGGGAGGCTTAACATCATCAGATTGACTGTTTGACAAATATCAAATTCCTGGTGGTCAATAAAAATATGTGTGTGAATATAATTAGTGGAATTTGCTCTTTCATTATGCTTTTCAGGCATCCGCAAGTATCCCCTGCTTTGTAGACTGCATAGAGCAATGACTGATGATGTCACTACACTGTGCAAGGAGTGAAGCATGAAAGACCAATGAGACGAACTGTCGGATTCAAACCAAAGGTACATGTATATGACTGAAGGATCCTGACAAATATAAAGGGTTTTTCTCATTTCATTTTTTCACATGTAATTCATTTTAAAAAACATGTTTAATTTCAATTCTTGATGAGAGAATTATAATAAAAAATATTTTCGAGGCAAGCGCTATCCTTTAACAGAGGAGGAGATGATAAATTCTAAATTAACACACAGTGCAGTAAGGGAAGCTAAAAGTGTAAAGTATTGTTTCAGGAAGTGCGTAGGAAGGCTGTGTCAGCCATAGCCAAGGGAGGTGTGGCCAGGGCTGCATAAACAAAGTGATTAAACTCCTAAATGCCAGAGAATTGAGCAGTGAGACTGCAGGGGCTTGATCTACACACCAAAACTACTTCATTATGAAAAAGTTGTCTTGGTGACTATAGTGTGCCTTTAATTATAAAAAAAAAAAAAAGTTGAATATTGAATTTAATGCCATCAACATTTCAGTCTAAAGATAAGACATTTTGCCATGATCATATTTTGCTTTTTGCTTGCTCCATTCATGAATATAATAAAAGTTTTATTATTTTTATTACAATTATTTTACATTATTTTGTGTTGGTACTTTCACTGACAAAATTTATATATATAAAAAGAAATTATTAAATATATATAAGTAAAAAATATCTATAGATATAAAACTGAAAAAGATTATTTCTAAATTGTGTCCATTACTTAGATTAGATAAGGACCTAAATAAGATACTATCTATCAAATAGTAGTTGATTTCTTTTCAAGGAGCAATGAATGTGGTTAAAAAAAAAAAAAAAAAAGTGTTTTGGGGGGTTTTTTTTTCAATGCAGATCTTTTTTTGGCTGTAGGACCAGTAAATCTAAAGGATAAGAGAGTAATTAAAAAGTTTACATCCACAGTTACAGGAAATAAATGTGAAATTAAAGTTCAAATAACGTGCTCTAGTAATAATATACCTATTGATTTATCCCTGCAGTTATCCATGGAATAAAACACGATAGTAGATTTTCTGAGGTTTGCAACTCAGATAAACCCTGCTTTTTTTATTATTATTTTTTTTATTTCAATATACTCAGTATGTGTGCCATAATAAATAGTTTTACCTTCATGAATGGACCTGATGATTATGGATGGATGATTATCCTTCCATGTGAGAATTGTGGGAGTTTGGATCCACCACACACTATGGATCTGATCCTTCCAAGGTGCTATAGTGTTAAACCACTCTCTCTTTGTGAGTGACATTCGTTTGGAGGGTCTTGGATTATACTATCGAATTTGATTGGTCTGCACTATGTATATTTTAAAATAGGTTATATTAAAGTAAATACATTTGATGGTTATATTAAAGCAAAGAAGTACAACTTGATGGCATAAGTATTTTTAATAATATTTGCGCAGCTTTTTATAAAGATTTTATTGTGGTGTTTTCCTAAAACACAGGTTTTTGGTTGGAATAACTCGTTAAGATGAAAGACACTTTTGGTTTGCAGTCTGTCTTATTTATTATAAGCACCCCTTAAATAAGGCTAAGTCTGAATCCCCGAATCTATAGGAAAAATGTGTCCACACAGCGTATCGATCAGTTAGTAAGAGAGAGAGCTCTGTGCTAAAAATCACAAGGACTGTAATCTCAATAAGTGTCCTCTCCCTCATAGGAATTGTCCAAGCTTAGAATCTGATAAAGAATTAAAATAAAGAGGAGCAAAGGTTTAGAAAATAATATCAGGAAGTATTACTTTACTGAGAGGGTAGTGGATGCATGGAATAGCCTTCCAGCTGAAGTGATAGAGGTTAACACAGTAAAAGAGTTTAGGCATGCATGGGAAAGGCATAAGTTTCTTACGTAATAATGCATGTGGGCCACTAGATGGCAGCAAATACATGGAAATATTGCAATATTGTTTCAACAATATTAGAAACTGATTGCCAAAGCAAATTCTGTGCAAATAAAAATGCTGTAAAAGTCATGTGCATGTGTATAGTGGTCAGCTTTTTGTGTAACACATGACTGTAACATCCCTGACATTGTACTGCTTTACACAAGGGTTGACAGTTTGAGATAAGTCCTGATGTCATCATCTTCTCTTGGCACCAAGAGTCCTCCGTCCATATGACGTTGGTGTGAGAGTACCCATGTAGAAAGTACATCTGCCCCTGTGATAATCACACACTGCTATTAGCATAAGGCTTAAAACTGGGTCAATACTTTGACCTACAGCAAGGAAACACGGAGGAAATTGCCCTGGGCCATTAGCATGCTGGCTGCACACATATCTTACAGCGTGATCAGAAAGTCAGATTGAAATCTAATTTAATTAAAAACTGCAGGAAAATTCAATGTAAATCTGGAGGACAGTGGTGCATTATTTTTATTATTATATGTCAGGAATACATGTTTGTATTACACTATAGTGTACCATGACCAGCCCTGATCACAGGAAAATTAAAAATAGAGCGGAGGGGCCCTCGGGTTTGTCATGGACTGCGAAGACCTAAAGTACATATTGTTTACAATACAGAAAGGAGAGGTTTGAAGGTTTGCCCAGTTCATACCTCCCAACTTTCCCTTTTTTTGGAGGGACAGTCCTTATTTTGTGTTCAAATCCTTCTGTTTCTCTTTTCTAGAAGCTCCATATTGTTTTTTAAACTACAATAAATGTGTTTAGAAATCAGTCTGTGTAAATAAGATACATTATTCCTGTTCTAAATTACGCTTTAGTTGCATAAATTGGTATTAGTAAGCCATCTAAAATGTCTCAGAACAGCCTGCCCCTAGCCATACCACCAAATTAAAATACTGGGCTTTATGACTATTTATTGTGTATAATGTTGGCAACAGAGGAAATCCGTATAAAATAACCCAGTTTTATTAAAATCCATGTGAGGGTTATAGAAGTACATGTCACGTGTGAGAACTATGTACACGGAGTAGTTCAAGAAAGAAGCACAAATATATTGTGATTTGCTAGAGTATAATTAGATGTCACCAACCTCGTGAAACGACCATGCAAAACATCGGATAGGAGATATCAAATTACTAGCGTGTCCAATCAGCTGCCATCTTTAATCATCCATCACTTTAAAAAAATTTTTTTTACATTTAATAAACTTTCAAGGGGCACTATACTGTCAGAAACACAAACTTGTATTCATCATGCTATAATCCTAACATCCCCGTTTAGGTGGTCAGCCTCCCTTACCTCTTGTTAGAAAGGTGATTCTCAACTTTTTCCAGCAGTGCTTGGGGAACCTAGCGCCTGGCCCTGCCCCTGATCTGCCTCCTTGGCTGACATAAACAGAATTGATGATCTCAGCCAATCACAATGTTTTCCAATAGGAAAGCATTGTATTAGCTTAGATCGGCATGGGCCAAACGCCGCCCTGGCCAATCAGCATCTCTTACTAGAGATGCATTGAATCAATGCATCTCTATGGGGAAAGTTCAGCATCTACATGCAGAGGATGTAAACACTGAACATCAGTGTTGCAGACAGTGCATCACTGACCAAGGAAGCCTTTCTAGTGGGGGTCTTAAGAGGCAGTGTTTACAATAAGAAGCCTGCACGGACTGACTATATTCACCAGAACAACTACATTAAGCTGTGGTTGTTCTGGTGACTATAGTGCAGTACAAATATGTATTCCTGACATTCTAGTGGAGTAAATATTTAGGTTATTGGCCACCCTCAGAGTGTTTTTATTTTTTAAGTGTCGCTTACTAACCTTTTTTCCATCACTGCACTGGTCTTGGTCTTGATCCTCAATCCAATGCATTATCATAGGACAGCATCAGGAGACTATTGTGCATGCATGGCAAAATGATGTGCTGCACCAATCAGCATGCATCTCTCATATATATATATATATCTATATATCTCTATCTATCTATCTATCTATATATATCTATCTATCTATCTATCTTGGCCACATCTCAATGAATCTCTAAAATTGATTCACCAAAAAAAATAAAAAAAATTGTAATTTGAAAGAAAACCCACAAAGTAACAGTGCTGTTCTCAAAATGTCATGGTTAAGCTTTACTCGTAAGTTAAAAATAATTTAATTATACTACTAACATATGTAGGTTTTATTACCACATAAAACATAATCAATATACATCATTAAAAAAAGTTCCATTAAATGTAATAAGCTTTTAATAAATGAAAATGTGATGACATTTGTCATTTAATTGCTGTTGCTGCTAGAATGGTTAAAACTGAAAGGACCACATCAAGTAGATGCCATAGAAGCCTGCTATTGCCTGGCACGCACTGCAAGGCATGAATAGATGTGTGTCTACACCATGCAAATATTTGGCTGGGACATAAACTGAAGAGTGGGCCAGCTTAAAGCAGCACTGTAATCCTATATTAAAATTGAGTATTTCATAAGATAGTAATATTACTTATTATCCTTCACCCACATAGCATGGTGTGGAAGAAGGATGAGGGGCCTACCGTTTGCACTATTATAAAAGTGTTTAAGAATGTACTAGCATTTATTGTTTTGCATTGATGGTTTGTACTTTGTAATGGTTCTAGTTATACAATCACAAATAAAGAATTAAAAATAAATAAAAGTATTAGGATTGCAGCGTTGATAGATATGCTTTGAATCCTTCTGTAACAGCATTAAAAGAGTTACCTGTTAACTAGAGGTTTTGGCATATCTCCAAGGGAGAAATATTATTTCATCCGTTTCTTCTAAATGGAGAGGGGACAAAACAGTGCAATGGAAATGCATATTTTGTCCCCCATCATCAATGATTCTAAATCAATAAATATCTGAATGTTCAAAGTGCCTTACCAGAAGAATACCTTAAAGGGACACTATAGGCACCTAGACCACTTAAACGCATTAAAGTGGCCTGGGTGCAGTGTCCATGTTCCCTAAACACTGCAGTTTAACACGTTGCCATTTTAGAGATACTGTACTAATGTTAAGAGTGCCTCTAGTGGTTGTCTATCAGAAAGCCACTACAAGCTATTCCAGCAGTTTCACACAGTTTAACTCTGTGAAACGAAGCTGGATATCCTCACGCTTTGCAGGAGGACATCCAGTGTGTTGGAAAACCCATAGGAAAGCATTGAGTCAATGCTTTTCTATAGGACAGAACTAATGAGAGAGCATTACATGTGCTATATGTTCCCCTATTCCGATGGAGGAGCAGGAGCCAGATGCAGCACAGAGGGACATCAGTGGTGGAATCCCTTTTTAACACTTTACATATCTGGGGAGAGGAGGAAGGTGTGCCGAAGGATACTATATAGTGTGAAGAATCAAGTTTTGTATTCCTATACACTATAGTGTTCCTTTATAAGAAATTGTTGTGCATTGCGAAAATATCATTACCAGGAAACATTGTGTGGTCTTATTAACTTACTGTTAAACACAAACAGTATAAAATACAAAAACACAACAACCCACAAAGACATCTTCATACGAGTTTATTGTTAAAAAGTTAGTGCTTCATTTTCCAGTCAAATTTAAAATGTACAGAAATTTCTATAGGGTTAAATAAGTTTCAAATCACAAGAAATGGTCTTGAACAAAAAGATGAATAGATCCTTCACTCAGGGAAATGAAATCCAATAATGACACAAGACAATTAATACTGCTACTTTCCTTTAAAAAAGAAAATAACCCTTGATATGAACATTATGTGGTTAATTGATGTGGGCCAACAATGCAAGAAAAAAAAAAATCAAAAAAAAAAAAAAATCACATGACAAAAGATGCAAGGCCGTCCCTTTTTCTTCGAGATGGATTATTTAAAGTGAATATTTTACACAAAATCGAGCAAAATGTATAACACAACAAGAACATATTTGTCTAGTTAACTCTTTCAAGACATGTTACATAAGGACAGGATACATTGATGGTTATACACTTAACCATGAACTGACCAGTGAACTGCACATCAAAGACTGCAAAAGTCAAACTGGAAAAGAAACCAAGTTGGCAACTTTCTCCAAATCATATTGTACAAGAATACTGGCAAATCCCTGTTTAATTAACAACCCCTGCAGGTTAAAGTCCAGTGCATTCTTGGAACTGTGTGTAGAAAGTATGTGGTATGCTAAATCTCCTGCTGAAAATGGCTTTTGACCTAAACTAGGATACTAGCAAAAACCTTGTCAAAATGTATATACACCTGAAATTGCCTTCTATGTGTGTGCAATGTGATATATCACGAAGATTGTGAGTCAAATTCCAGAATGTCATTTGTGCATAGTACTGAGTCACCATTGTGGAATGTACACAAATCAACCTAATTAGCATTGCAATAATTTATACATACTACATATTTACTTATGTAGTATTTACCAACTTTGCTAGCCCAACATATTAAATGTGGCATAATGTCACTGTATAACAGGCAGAGTTTAATTTTCCTGAGTGCCAGGTATCTTCTTATAACCTAAAATGCATGCTCCCAAAAAAAAAATATAAAAAAACCAAACGACAGGGCAGGAGTGCTTACATAGTTAGAAATTGCACACACACTGTATATCTGTACTCTAAAAGAAAAATATAAAAGTCAATAGATTTTTCTTATTTTACATCTCCTTCTCAGGGAGATATTTTTAAAATATGCATAGCTGTTTCTCCTAGCCTGGCAAATCCGATCATGCAATGTAAAATATTTGACTGTTGTAAAATGTGCTTTAAATAAGGGAACAACTTATATTTAATCAATATTTTCCCTTTTAAAAAAGTGCTAAAACCTATTTTGTATTGCTTGGAACACTGAATCAAAGCGCAATTTTTTTCACAAAAAAATGTATTTTACATAAATATTTGAGTTATCACAAAACCCCTCCTGACTATACACCATTGTGCTTCCTCTGGTTCTTTCAATTAAGCAATTTATGTATGTGATGGAAGCTAACTGACTGCTCATAAACATGCATTGAAGCATTTGTACAGAGCAAGCCCCATGACATCTGTTTGCCTCTTAATATGGATGTGATGCATTATTGCAATTTTAGGAATAATTTTTAGAATAATATTTACCTGTACGCATGGCTCCACACAGCAACCAGACAAGTGGGTTGCAAATACAGTGGGACCTTGGTTTACAAACGTCTCAGTTAACATAATTTTCGGTTTACATATGAAAATCCATTGAAAATAATGCCTCGGTTTACAATTTTTTTTCGCAATACAAAGCAAGTTTCCCCAGGATGCATTGCACCTGGGAGGTTTATAGCACCACCCCCTGCATGCTGGAGCCTGTGGGTAGCACGTGGCATCGAGTGTGGAGGTGTTGGAGTGGCTTTTGCATCGAGTTTTGAAGCCATTCTGGAAATTGTTTGCAGTTGTTTTGGTACTTTTTGCTGCATTTCTCAAGCGGCGGAAAGGTAGGGAGCTGAGCTTCGTCGTTTGCATGCCTTTTATTGTGTGTTCTGCATTATGGGTTGGTTTCCATGCCAGCTCATTTTGACTTTTTGTTCTGACCTCCAGAACGGATTAATTGGTTTTCAATGCATTCCTATGGGAAACAAATTTTTCGCAATAAGAAATGTCCCGGAGAACGCATTAAATTCGTAAACCGAGGTCCCACTGTATCAGATACATAAGATTGAAATTTTTCTCTCTTTAGGCCCATATGTATATCTTAATATTTATTTCTCTGGACCTCACAGAACAAAAAGAATGAATCTCAGGAACAGGGGTGCGCAAAATGCAAATTTAATCAATGATGGATCTTCTTTCTTTCCATATCATGCACATGTAACGCAATGATCTATGGTTCAGGAGGTCTACATACTGAGTAGTTCCAAGCTGGACAGGGTTTTATGGAATAAGAAAAAAATCCTATGTATCGGAATGAGAAGCTCCTGATAAAAAGCGAGTCGTTAATAGTTTTTACATATTTTTGCATAATGTATAGAATGTCCTTGATGCAATTTAAATGGGACAAACCCCAAGATGCCATATTAGTTTTAAATAGTGTCCTTTCTTCTATGAACAAGCAACACAAACAATAAACCTATAAAGAACATAAAGCAAAATACTTTCTGCACATCCCAGCTGTGCAACTATAATGGTAGAATAAAAATCTATACAAAAAGGTGACTCGAAAAACAAACTCCACAAAAAAAACTAAACATTCCAATTGTTGCATTAAAACAATATCCTTAAGTTGAAATATTTAAATTTAAAACTAAAGATTTTTTCTTTTCAGCAGTAAAAGTAATAAAATAACTAAAATAAAAACAAACAACATGCATAACCATCACCAAAGCTATGAAAAGCAAAAAGAAAAGTCAGGGCAGGAGTGCTTAAGTAGTAACAAATTGCTTTATAATTTTTATTGTTCACACAGGCCTGATTAGAACTATAGTTTAGGAAAATTAGGAGCTGTGTTTAAAAAAAAAAAAATGTCCTCCCCAAAAATATAGACCAAGCAATGCAGACATCTGGTTGAAAAATGCTTACAGATAAGTAAAAAATTGTGTCTCAGCTATAAAATAATAAAATACTTATGTAAGCTGAGCACTAATCACGGGAAACGTCAAACTCACAGTTGTGGTATCCAAATTTTGAATGCAACCGAGAAAAGCAAAACCCACCCAAATATGAAACCTAGACAACCATTTAAAAAAACAAAACAAAAAAACACATTGTTAAATTGGGGGTTGCTTTACAATTGAACACACTGTTGGTGAAATATTGGTGAAAATCTGCAAAAAGTTACTGTAAGTAATTCTAAAAAATTAGAACAGTTGCCATAACACCAGTTTTGATTGATTGCTCTACTTTAAGACTGTGTGCCAACAAGTTTACCAACCCCTTCTTTCAAACTCCACGTGCATAATTAGCTTTGCTTCAGGTCTAGTAAACTGCAGCTAGGCAAGTTCATTATGAACCAATCAATACGGATTGAGCTATATTAATTGTCTGCCACTTTATTAAGATGCCATTAATTTTAAATTAATAAAAACACATCTGAAAATTAAAATGAACAAAAACCAAAAACAAACAACACAAACGATTCCTAGGTTTTGCTTTTGTGGATTTATATTGGATGATTGCATAAAAACATGCGGCAGGTAACAGTATATATGATGCAATTATTCAGGTATTGCACTTTAAATGGGGTTTATTGGAGATACATACATTTCAGCTATAAGATATAGCTTGTCTGTAGTGGTCTTGTATGGATGCATTTTTATAGTGATCAAGCAGTGTGTTTTACTACACACTACTGACTTTTTCCTGTGCTGATTTACAATGAAAATGTCATCTGAAGGCAAACAAAAACATTATAAAAATCAAATATTACAAACCATCACACACTTCGTTATGGATAAAGGTCAAAACAGACACATAACTGTTCCATATATGTTCAGGGATTGGCACAGGTTGAAGATTTGTAATTATTTATAAATTATTATTTAGTATTTTTAGAGCATGCAGCCTATTAAAATGTTTCCAAAACCCACCCCTCAAATGTATAGGTGTAGAGGAGCCAAACTGCTTCTCAGACAGACTGATCACAGCATTGGTGATTAAACAATAATCAAAAGTAGTCCAACGTGTCAACTGTACTTAGGGGCAGCTACTTACATCTGAAGCAAGCAGTGGTATCTCAAATTATACTGTAATTTAAAGTGGACTTATTGCTTTTCTGCTATATTTTTTCAAAGAAATACAGGCATTGACATACTGTGAAACATTTTTAACATTGCCCACGCTACCATCTAAAAGTTTGGGGAAGCCTGATCTAAAGGGAACCGAGCCACTATTATAGTGTTATATTTTAGTACATCGGCTTGGTGTACGCTTCCCTGAAATGGCCAACTTCAGCAGATTTCTACCACACATGCATGCATACAGAATTACAAAGGCATTAACTTGGGGAGAAAAAAATAAGTCAGATTTGAATGACTGATAAGACTTTCAAAACCTGTGGAAGAATTAAGACTTAATAACCCATAGTTTGTCTGAAGTTAATTATAACTTTTTAACAACCAGGGGGAAAAAACCCTCCATCCCTGGAACTTTTACAGTTTTGAATAGTAATTTACCGGTAAGTACAAATTAAGATACCTTGGTTATGTATGCTATCACTTTATTAAAATTATAAGGATTCAATTTAAGTAGGCCCAAGCCATTACATTGATTGACCAACAAGAACCAGCATGGCAAGGTAGGCATGGACTGCTGATCTCTCTTGTAGGATATTGTTCTTCTGAGAGTAAGTCTACTATGGGATACAGACAAAAGTTGCTCATTATACTAGAGTGCTCCGGGGTTTTGTGTCCTAATCTTTGAGTGAGGCAGACACAAAGTTTCTCACATATGAAGAAAATAAATCTTAAATGTAAGTTGCATTACAAGCCAAGACTCCTATGCTAGTGGTCTTTTCCAAAATATTGCATTTCTACCATTTGACCAGAGCCTTAAAATAAATATCACATGAAATTAAAATGAAAGCATTACATCATTTTAGCATTAAGACCTGTTAGTGTCAGATTAAAGAAAATATTCTTGTCAAAGGGTTACAAAAAAAAAGGCTACAAATACAAAATAGAAACCTGAATGAAAAAATATTTTCTAAAATATAAAATCAGAATGTTCTGCTTCCGCTATAGGAAGAAGAAAACTAAAATAAACTAAAAATAAGCAGTAGTAAACATACAAATGAATATTGACCAAGCCCCCTAACAGTACGTAACACAAAGGTCATTAACCTAACCATTAATACGTATTACGGAGAGATACTAGGAGTGTTTTTCCCGTCCTAGTGAGTGATTTTTGGTTTGGCATACATGTGCTAGACCTTTTCTTTGCCTCTATCTGCTGGCTCACTGGCCAGGAAAAATATACTTTGCAAACTTTGCAAGAGTTAAACAAATTTGTAAAATTTCCTAATATAGTGGTATGTTATCTTCACATCTGAAAACCTTACTTTTATATCCACGTCTCTAGCACTGTGAGGGGAATAAAGATACAATCTTACTATATATAAATACACTCTATACAATGAAGAAGAAACCTACTTCAGTGCTTCCAATGGATAACACCTAATATTGTAAGGTGGAATAATTGCTACTAATTCAATTTAAAAAATAAATAAATAAAAAAAATCAAAAAATCACAGAAGTGTATTGGGAACATTTTTTGGACTACGATTTTTATATACTGTGCGCTTTTGTATAGTAAGAAAGCATTGATGGAATTTGGTAAATCCTTCTCAAAACTGGCATTCATGCATGCATATAATCACCTAAAAAGAAAAATGTTTGGCCGGGTAATGTTTGGCGCTTTGAGGCACCAATAATATTAAAGTTTGCAGATCGTGATGCAAAATCAATCCACAGCTTCTAAAAAAACAAAAACTAGGAAATTTTGATAGGTGACAAAGTGGTAATCATGCTTTAAGCTAAAATAATTCTAGACCTAAATATTCCATTCAGGATTAACCAGGCAAGCGAAAATGATTTGGATTGCTGTTGTAATTTGAAGCCTTACTCACATGCTGACAAAATGTCTCAGATAGGGTCTTATTTTATATCCAGATCGGACCTCCAAACCATGAGATGTGTAATGCCAACCCCAAACTCTTACTTGTCATTGATATTACGTATGTATTCACACAAATAAAGAACCTGAGCAGCTGTATTTGAGATCCTTTAGGAATCTCACAGAACACCAGAACTCGGTAGTACAAATAGTTTATACTTAATGGTAGGCAGAAATACCTTGTGTTGACAAAAAAAATAAAAAATAAAAAAAAATAGATTAGGGAACAATTTTCTCCACTTGGTCTAAGGTTACGCTAAAATGAACCTGTTCCAGTCTCCAAATAAGTTATGTCATCAAATGAAACTGCAGGCTGGAGAAGAGACTACTACAACATGCATGAAAAGGCTAGAATATGAACTGGAAGTTATAACCTCCCAGAAACAGGGATTTATTAAAAAAGTTTCACCAGGTGAAGAAAATCTTAACTGAGTTTTCAGTATGACCGTTGTAGTGTCAGTCTCTGTAACCAGACTGGTGACCAAGTTGTCGATCATCGTATGTGCTATATCGCTTCACATGAATACGGCGTACGCGGTCGCGAAGCTCAAAACCCTCTTCATCCTCACTGTGAGATGCCTGGCTACGAGTTCGACTTGTGGCTTCCAGCAAGGAGTTATCAGGTACGCGAGGTGTCTCGTAGAGTAATACATTTAGGGTCTCTTCATAGATGCGTGCCTCAGGGAATTCCACCTAGAAATCAGATTACAATCACATGTTTATATTTTCCCCAATGTACAGGAATCGCTATTCATATATTGTTGAATATAGTTGAATATGGAATGATGTTAAATAAATATTCTCTTTTAACAGCACACAAGACGTGAGCCCATCTGCATCCACTCAGATAGCAAGTTACAACACGCAAGTTCAGTTAAATGACTTTTCTGGGAAAGTGCTAGTCTAGTGAAAAACAAATGTCCCCTTACTGCTCAGAAACATAGAACAAATAATAAAATTAGTCTGACTCCCACAAATAACATTTTATTTATGTGAAATGTTTCTTGAAGGTCACAATATATAGGAGATGTTTTTCTGAAACTATTACGGATGTTGAGGATATTGTGTTTATGTGTATATAGAATATATGAATGAGGCTCCTGTTGCTGCTCCTAAAAGTACCAGTATATATTATCACACAGAGGGCTTTCATTGGATTTTCCACTGTTAATTTGTTTAGTGAAGGTTATACCTGTTGATTTAAACATTCACGTACCCTTTATGTGACCTTGACTCAGAGACAGAGTTAATGGTAAACAGAATGTGAGAGAATAAAAGGATTTTTCTACAACTTCCTGGATTCAGCAATGAATGTAACCATGCGTGCTCGCCCCCAGACATTACACACTGTATTGCTAACCACATTCCCTGTGGGTGGATGGCAAGCTTTAACATAAGAGGGAAAAAATGCAGCCCTAGGAAAATGGAAGTTATAATATAGAAGTCCAAATAAATGATTTTCTGAATATGTTGCTCAAAAAACGTCACCTTTAATGATACACTAAATATCACTTATTCTTGTGGCTGTATTAGTTCAGGTAAATACTAATAGAAGGCCTCTGACCACTCTTGAAAATATTCTGGGAATATAGCTAAACATAAATTTGTGCTACAATTGACATATGAAAAAGGCTCAAAGTACCTCAATGTGAATAGGGTATCCGAAAAGGGTTATTCTGTACTCAGGAGATATAGCGGAGCACAATTTAGTGCTTTTTATTACAGAAGAACATATCGAATTTACAAAATAAATCACTAAATTGCAATGTGCACGTAAAAAGGGCAAAAATACAATACTAATAAAAATAAATTGGTGCTAAAATGGCTGTATAATAAGGCTCAAAATATACCATATGAAATACCCTGTAGTGTCCACTTTCACAAATGGTATGCATTTAAGATGTAAAACTGCTACAATGACCCAAAATGTGAAATAAGTCCATCAAATTCATAGCCGAAAATTTTTATTGTCTTAAATGGCACTGTAAGTTCACAAATTAATGCCAAAGTCATACATTTGAGGGTACTGATTTGTTTTATATCACCGTGGCACATATTAGATTTCAGAAATGGAAAGTTAAATTGTAACAGAGTATAATAAAAAAATTAAAAGTTATGGCGTCTACATTATATAAAATATTTGCAGGTACTCTACACTTACCGAGCGGGTTCCATTCCTACGACCCGGTTGGTAAGTGAGGAGTTAAGGGATTCCCTGGTCTGGTGTGCTTGTCTATGTTCGGAGAAATTTCCTGCTCTGGTGCTCATGTCTGTGTTCAGGGACATTCCTCGAACATAGACGAACGCACAAGAGCAGGGAATCCCTCTAATCTAGGCTCGGGGAAATGTCCCCGAACATAGATTAGAGGGATTCCCTGCTCTGTTGCGTTCATCTATGTTCGGAGAAATGTCCCAGAACAGTCGAACGCAGTAGATCAGGGAATCCCTCTAATTCCCACGACAGCTCGCACTTACCACCTCGCAAGAGAGATGGTCGTAAGTACGAGGTCGCAAAACGAGGACCACCTGTACCCTAGTGTGGCAATTTTGTTTCTGTGATGGCTATTAAACTTACAAGACAAACATACCAAAATCTAAAAATCGCTCCACATTGAAATTTAATTTTACTGCTTTTATTTTGTGACCTGTAATCCCCCCAAAAACTGTCCTATACATACTCTGTAAATCACGACAAATAAATTACTTTATTTTCAATTATGCTACTTAAACTGCACTAATTATGCACACATTATTATTGCCAAAACTCGGGGGGGGGGGGGTTTGTCATTTTGTGTACCTTTTTTTTTCCATAACTTTTTATATTTTGCAATTCACACATGCATATGTCACATCAAATTAAAGTCCCTTTTTTCCTTAAAAAAAAAAAAAAAAAGCAAACTGTATACAATAAGTGTTGGTGCAGTAAAGGAGAATGATGGAAACTATGGTTGATCACACATATAGCAAAACTTGCTTTGGTCTCTAGAGGGCTAAGGACGAAGGCCATTGTGCACGTTCTGAACAAAACAAAACCTTAAGTTAAGCTATAGCCTTGTTCCATGATAATTTAAAGGTTTCTCTTCAAGTGCCCCTTGTTTTTTTTTTTTTTTAAAGGACAGAAAAGGTTTTCACTTAACATCTTATATGTATACTGTTGTGGAAATAAGGTCTACACATATTTCCTAGTTAGTGAAAAATGTCTATTTACTCATTTCACGATATATATATATATATATATATATATATATATATATATATATATATATATATATATATATATATATATATATATATATATATATATATATATATAGAGCTAAGCACACACGTTATAATCAAGATGGCTGCTGGAAGCTTCTAGCTCCTTCCCCCTCCCTCTTCCTTTCTCCCTCCTAACATCGACTAACTACCTCGTGCACCAAGATGGCGCCGGGAAACCGTGGGAGACTCTCATGGCCCCGGTGACATCGCCTACAGTAGGCAGAGCATTGAAGCAACCACTTAACACCTAACCAATTATTGATGTATTATTCCATGTTATCTCTGACAATGCTTATGATGTAATTTTGCTTTAAAAGGGACTTGCCGTCCCCTCTGAATAAACTTTCCTCAAGTTATTCAACAACCTAGAACCTGTGTCTGGTGTGAATTACTTCAGGGAGCGTGCACGCATTGTTTCATTGATTTGGCCAGGGGCAGATACACAAAGAAATAATCAATACTTTAATTGATTTTTCCACTTCAATTGGCGCCCAACGTGGGGCCCACCGGAGAGCCGGTTCGGAGGGCCGGAACCAACGGACCGGAGCGGACCTCCGGAAAGTGGGACAAGCGGAGCCTGATCACCTCCATAATACAGCCGTTGCCTGTGTTATTCTCCTGTTTTGTGCCGGTCTGTCTCCGAGTCCACTTCCGGCTTCCAGAAGGCTACTAGAGACAGGTAATTAACTCATCCGGTGCGCCCTTTTTAAGTGAACCTGTCGATTGTCTATCTGCCTCCTGTATTCATTTATGTGTGTGTGTTTATTATACCTTTAAAATATGTTTGCTTGACTGCCTAGCGGGCAGGGAACGCATTTTATATGTTTGCTTGACTGCCTAGCGGGCAGGGAACGCATTTTATATGTTTGCTTGACTGCCTAGCGGGCAGGGAACGCTTGACTGCCTAGCGGGCAGGGAACGCATTTTATATGTTTGCTTGACTGCCTAGCGGGCAGGGAACGCATTTTATATGTTTGCTTGACTGCCTAGCGGGCGCATTTTATATGTTTGCTTGACTGCCTAGCGGGCAGGGAACGCATTTTATATGTTTGCTTGACTGCCTAGCGGGCAGGGAACGCATTTCAGCCGGTGGGGCTGGGTTTTTATGTTAGCTTGACTGCCTAGCGGGCAGGGAACGCATTTCAGCCGGTGGGGCTGGGTTTTTATGTTAGCTTGACTGCCTAGCGGGCAGGGAACGCATTGCAGCCGGTGGGGCTGGGATTTTTGTTTGATTATTGCAGTATTTCCTTTGGTACCAGTGTTTTGCCGGGACCAGCCTGGTGGGTGAAGGCTGGGGATTGTTATACCCTGAATATCTGACACCGGTGGTGTTAACATGTACATGGCTATTTTGCTCTCTATCATTCTGTGGTTTCTGTTTAATTGTTGTTACAGTGTGGGTACCCTCGGTGTGTGTGTGTGTATTGTGTGGTTAGTTCTGGATTCCGGAGTTTACGCTCATTTGTATGTTTGTGATTTTTGTAAATGTCTTCTCATTAGCGCAGCCACGTTCATTTTCTCCTTTGTTCTTTATCTTTCTTGTGCCTGTTGCCCAGAGCTGTGTTAGTCACCCACGCTCATTCGCTCCCGTCCGTGACCACCACCCCGGGTGGGCGGATCTCCGTGACTGGTCTACGTTTGGGGAAGACGCAAGGGGCTCAAGTTCTCGTGCAGTCGAGCACTGTAGACATTCTTTTTCCCCCTTATACTTTCTCTACTTCTTTGTCTTTCACGTGTGGCACGCTTTGGTTACTCAAAAATGGGACAGGAACACGCTAGACCTGCTAAGGGCTTGCTAGCTTGTGACATTGTGAAAGAAAGGGCAGGGGAAGATGCAATGTTGAAACTTAAAAAGATTGCTAAGGTGTGTGGCTTCCAGATGTTGCCTAGTGGGAGATTGCAGCCTGAGTTTTGGAGAAAGCTACTCATAGACAAGGAAGGGTTGTTGTTGGATAATGGACTTACGAAGGTTGCAGAGGCTTGGTATCGGGTAGCTAGAGGTTTGAAACGGGAAGGATGGGTCGAGGAAGAACTGGAGTTCGAGGGCCAAATTGTGTATGTTTATCATAGAAGTGTTCACAATGATGATGTTGGAAAACAGCGAATAGATTGAGCCAAGTTAGATACACAGAGAAAGTGGGGGGTAACCCCAGATAAAGAATAAGGAGAACAAGATGAAGTGTATCTAATTAATGATGCAAAATATATGCATCAACGAAATTCAAAATAGCCAACAAATAGCCTACTATGAAGGCCAGATAAGGCCACTAAAAACAAAAATAATAAAGGTTTATTAAATGAAACAAATATGTAACCCAAATATGTGCTACCATAAACACACCAAAAATTCAAAAATGTAGATCGTCTAGAACAAATAAAATAGTATATAATAGCAGATCAGAATATGAAAACAATAACTGTCAGTTGTGGCTGGTAATATACCAGACTAAAGAGGCAGAATGCCAATCCAATGGATCGGTAAGTATATTAAAACTGGCCCTTTAAAGCTCCATAATAAACTGATGGACCATATATGTTTAGTCCAGAATATAAGTCAATATGGAGGGTGGTTAGTAGTCCATAATAATAAATAATATACTAAACCAAAACATCTGTCAGATGATAAGAAAATCGATTATAAAGTCTATCGCTTAAAAGGAGTATATATGTAGATAAACCACAGCGTGTGTACACTGAACCGACAGTAAAGCAATCCTAAAGATAGCTGGGAGGAACAGGATAAGGGAGAGATACACATATAAATAGGGTAACAATAGAAAAGGTTACAACATATCTGTTTGATAGCACACAGTGTGTATGGAAAGCTGTTAGCAATGTGAGAGAGAAAAATATCTAAATGATACCCTCTATAAATATGTGACCCGTGCCTTCGAGGGCACCTAGCTCCAACCCCCCAGAGATCCGATAAATAAATAGGTCAAGGAGGTAAGATCTGCAAAAATTAAGTATAGTAAAAATGTATGGAATAAACAGCGCGGTCGCCAGTCTGTGTGCTGCACTAAAGGTCCAACACGTGCAGCACACCACAATCCTCTGATGCGCGCGTTTCGCTACACCTAGCTCGTCAGAGAGGAAACGAGAGGTGTGTTAGCACCGGGTTTAAAAATGCAAAGAATTCACCTGATTGGTCCGGACGGACAGTTCCTGATTGGATGGAGAAGATGACGTAACGGAGAACATAATCGGAGGTGAAATAGTCTTAGCTACTATAATAATTAACCCATTGAGGGTCGGGTTAGAGTGTGAAAAAACTAGGCAAGACAAATGCCTGCTAGATCACTACATAAAGTATATTCAAGGTAAACATACGTTTGTAGATCCTATGTGACCTTAGGAAATATTTAGAATAATTCTAAAGGATCAAAGCACATCAGGATAGAAATCGAACGCCCATAAATTAAATCTGAAGACAATCAAATATATTGTACTAACAAATTATTATAAAAATAAATAAAATTAAACATCATACCAAGTAATGGTCAAATGATGTAAGTATAATTCTATTGTCTGATGCCATAAGGTATAGTGCATAATAGGAGATGATCAATTAAATATGAAATATGGTGGCTCCCATTAATTATATATATACCAAAGAAAGAAAGAGAGAACATGTTCAGGAGGTTCTACAATAGATCTTCAGATAGAAACTTGGCTAGATAAATGAATCGCCTATATAATGGACAAGGAATAAGTGATGATTGGAAATTGTATATCTAGATAGAACGTAATGGATAATTAGTTCACATAACTGTCACCAGGAACCCATTTTAAAAAACCCCATTATACATAGGTCACTCATAATGGCTATGGAAATTATCTTGATGTATAGGCAAGATGTTCCAATTGATATTAAGTTCTTAATGTATGAAGGGAGTAAAGTTGAATTCCTCATTGAGACCATCTGGTGACAATGTCTTTAGGATATATATCCATCTGGACTCCTTCATGAGTAATATTTTATTGAAATTACCCTTCCTCGTATTCAGAGTAATTTTTTCCAAAGCCTGAAAGGTTAGTTTCGTGGGATCTGCCTCATGGTAATTACGAACATGATTGGCTATTGGAGTCGAAATGTTCAAATTGGTAATGGAGCATACATGCTGAAGTATCCTCCGTTTGAATTGCTGGTAGGTCTTACCTACGTATTGTATACCACAACAACAGGTAATTAGATATATTACTCGTGTTGAACTGCAGTTAATAAATTCTTTGACCATATATTCATTTTTGGTCTTAGAGCTTTTGACAGTTTTAGTTGGTTTAATAAACTGACAAGCTTTGCAGTGCCCACAACGAAATACTCCAGTGGTTTGTTTTAGCCAAGTAGATTGTAATGACTTTGCGGGTTCAGTATGGCTGTGAACGAGAATGTCTTTCAAATTTCTTGCTCTACGAGCAGTCATCTGAGGGAATTTCTCAATGCTATCACTTAGATCCATGTCATATTGCAGAATGGGCCAGTTGCGAGAAATAATTTCTCGTATCTTATCCCAATGGGGATCATATGTGCCAATGCACCGAGTTGTTTTTGTTTCAGTCCTGGATCTAATATTTCTTAAGCTGTCACTCCGATTAATAGACAAGGCTCGTTGATAGGCTCGTTTGAGAACCCTATTGGGATACCCCTTCTGTTTGAACATTAGTCTCAATTTCTTTGCTTCTAATTGAAAGGTTAATTCGTTAGAGCAGTTTCGTCTTGCGCGTAAATATTGGCCATATGGTATCCCAGATTTTAATTTAATTGGATGGAAACTAGTCCAGTTTAATAAGCTATTGGTTGCTGTATCTTTTCTAAAAAGTGTGGTTTCAATTTTACCATCCTCCTAATATACTTACCGATCCATTGGATTGGCATTCTGCCTCTTTAGTCTGGTATATTACCAGCCACAACTGACAGTTATTGTTTTCATATTCTGATCTGCTATTATATACTATTTTATTTGTTCTAGACGATCTACATTTTCTTTGATAGATCTGTCTAGCAATTATTTTAGATTTTGAATTTTTGGTGTGTTTATGGTAGCACATATTTGGGTTACATATTTGTTTCATTTAATAAACCTTTATTATTTTTGTTTTTAGTGGCCTTATCTGGCCTTCATAGTAGGCTATTTGTTGGCTATTTTGAATTTCGTTGATGCCTATATTTTGCATCATTAATTAGATACACTTCATCTTGTTCTCCTTACAATGATGATGTTGTTTCTATTGTTCCACGACCACCGCCCTATGATGGCGCCCGGAGCGCAACACTTAATTCCCGCCCTGCTTCTCCCGTCACAGCACAAACCCCACCCTCCGGGGGTGTGCCTTCAGCTCCCACTCCCCTGTGCCCCGTACTTGGTGCGGATGGTGCTTACTATTATCCAGTCCCACTTCAATCATTCCCACCTACTCCCATGCCTCAACCCTCCTATGACCCAACCCCTTCCATCAGCCATCCTTCCATCATGCCTGCCGAAGCCCCTCCGCCTTCATGTCCTTTGCTACTTCTCCACCTTACCCATTGAAGTCCCACCCTCCTCCTCCGCTTCCCTCTCAACCCCGAGTACTCCTTCCCTAGTAACTCCCGTTCCCTCACCCTCTCCGTCTATTACACATCCAACTCCCCTGACCCATACCCTTTCCACCGGCCCTATTCCTCCGGATCTCTGTCTCCCCGCTGACCCAGGACCCCTCCCTCCCACGGCCGATTTGCCGTCCCTAGTCTCTGCCCTCACCGCCCTGACCCAACCCCCTGTTACCACCTCTCCAACCCCTTCTCCAGTGTTACCTCCTCCTCCCGAAGTCCCAGCCCCCTCTACCTCGTTACCCCTCCCTCCCACGGCCGATTTGCCGTCCCTAATCTCTGCCCTCACCGCCCTGACCCAACCCCCTGTTACCACCTCTCCAACCCCTTCTCCAGTGTTACCTCCTCCTCCCGAAGTCCCGGCCCCCTCTACCTCGTTGTCTACTCCTCCACTGATTGGTTTGCCGTCCCTTGCCTCCGCCCACGTTGCTCTGCCACAGCCCCTTGTTCCAATCCCTCCAACCCCTTCCCCGGAAACCCTTGACGCATCCATGCCTAATGACCTGTCTACCTCGATATCCGCCCTTTTCACTGCTGTCACTTCCCTGGTTAACTCCGCGATCCCTGCACTGCCTCCCACTGATATACTTCCTCCTCCTCCTCCTCCTCCTCCTCCCCCGGAACCTTCGACCCCTCCCTTGTCTCCCGCTAACCTCCCCGAGCCTTCCGATCCAATCTCTGCTCTTGCTCATGTCCTAAACACCCACCTCTCACGCCCAGCCCCGCCGGCCCCCATGATGGCCCCTTCCACGGCTTTAGTTCCCCGTGTCCCTTCCGCCAGCACTAGTTACCCAATCATGGTGGTTGGGTCCGAGGTGTCTGCGACTTCGGACCAGCCCTATGCGATGGGTGCCTCCCCCCAAGCCTCGGGCTTCCACCCTGCTACCTCTCCTATTACCGCCCTCCCAGTTGCCCCCGCTACAACTACCCCTGAGGCTACTCTTCACCATGGTCCGGTGGTGCCCGAGGAGGTCGTTGTGGTGGACCAGAGCTCACCCCACCTGGGGGGAAGAAGGCTTCCCCAACGGCACTCCATTCCCCAGGGGTATACTCAGATTAGTCATGGTGCGGATGGTGCACCACCTATGTATGTTACTTTTAACCCTTCCCAAGCCGCTACCCTTGTGACCTCACTCCCTGATCCTGAGAAACACCCCATGCCCTTTTTCCGCAGGATGGCTCAGATCCGTAAGACATATTCCGCTGCTTGGCGGGATCTTATTAGTTTATGTGAAATTAAGGCTGGAGATGCATACTGGCCAATCATGGAACGGAGCTTTAGTGACGCTCCACTTACTTCTGATACTGATTTTCGTTCTGGTGAAATTTTCTGCGAACAACTTCGCGCCTGGGCGCAGGATAAACTGGCTGACCAGGCTACTTGCATTAATGACATAATACAGGACAAACTTGAGACTGTTGAAAAGTACCACTCTAGGTTGACTCAGACTTTCTCGGACTTAGGGTTCAGCACTTACAATAAGGCACACACCCAGATGCTATCTGCAGCTTTTGTGGCAGGACTGAGAGAACACATTCGTAAGGGGTTGATTTTAGCTCGCCCTGAGTATAGAATTATTCCACTAGACACCCTTTTGTTGGTAGCCAAGGGCTTAGAATCTGTTTTACAACCCACACAGCGTAGGGCTAGTCCGCTGATGTACACCACCTCCACACCACTTGCTGGTTCTAACCAAGTTCCTCAGATGTTCCCCCAACAGTACACTCAATCACCCCAGACACTGCCTGCACCAATCCCTTTCCCCCGGGACCGGACTATCACGACAATCCGGACCTGTTTTAATTGTAATCAGCCAGGCCACTTTAGAAGAGATTGCCCACAGCCTAGAGTGTTCCGCCAGCAAACTCCCCGGTACCAAAGTCCCCATGTCACTGGCTACAACTTCCCTTCCCCTGGTTACCTCCCCGCCCTTCCCCATCCGCAATTGCCTCAGCTTCCCCCACCACCACCTCCTCCTCCTCCTCCTCCTCCTGAATACACTCAAGCCCGGCTCCCTGCATCAGAAGCTCGTGCATATACTTCACCCTCCGCTGAAGGGTATGACAATGATGATTTCCTAGACGGCCAACCCCGTCATACCCTCCGCCCATCCCGTCCCCCCATGCATTCTGCTAACCCTCCTTCCACTTCCCGCCGGTACCAGGGACCAGACCAGGCCCATTTGGATTTATTGCAATAGGTAACCGGCAAGCCTGTGTCAGCAACCCCTGCCATGGCAGTGTCTGCGGGGGATGGGGGAGGCCCTTTAGCTACTGTAGTTCTCCCTGTGGAGGGCCACCCCACCACTTTCCTAGTTGACACAGGTGCAGCCCGTAGTGTCCTTAGGGAACAAGACCTGCCAGACCCATCTTTCTTATCTGACACTGATGTTTCCTGTGTTGGGGTGGATGGTACACCACGCAGCAACCCCCTTACTAAGCTCCTACACGTAGGTTCACACATCCTCTCCCGATTTGTTGTTTCCTCTACCTGCCCCATTAACCTCCTAGGTGCCGATGTTCTCTCTCGGCTCCAGGCCTCCATTACCTTCACTGCAGATGGGCAGATTGAATTGACAACCCCCTTATCACAAAAGGATACCTCTGTCCTCTGTTCACTCCCTATTTTGTTAAACCTAACTGACAATACAGGGGATACACGGGTCCCACAGGCCCCCAGTGCTCTGGATCGTATCCCTCAAGAACTTTGGTCCACTGGCCCGGATGATATTGGGCGATTACATGTGCCCCCAGTCTTAGTCCAGCTCCTGCCTGGGGTACTGCCTCCTCGCAGGCCACAGTACCCCCTGAAGCCTGCACAAGCTGAAGCCATTACCAGACAAGTTGAAAGTCTCCTTGCCAAAGGTGCCCTCATCAAGTGTACATCTCCATGCAATACTCCACTTTTTCCTGTCAAAAAGAGAACTGTTAAAGGTCAGCCTGACCAGTACCGCATGGTGCAGGATCTCCGTGCTGTGAATGATGTAACCATAAAAGACTCCGCAATTGTTCCTAACCCCCACACCCTCTTATCCCAAGTCCCACCTACTTCAACAATATTCACCATGGTGGATCTAGCTAATGCCTTCTTCAGTGTCCCCCTTAACCCTTCCTGTCGTTTTCTCTTTGCCTTTACCCATGAAGGACAGCAATACACCTGGACTGTTATGCCTCAGGGGGCTCAGAATTCCCCCACACAGTTTGCTCACGCCATGTCCCTGGTGCTGGATCCCTGGCAGAAGTCTCATTTGGATGTCGTCCTGCTTCAATATGTTGATGATCTCCTTCTCTGTGCTCCTGATTTGCTCATTGCTGAGCGTGATTCAGAAGATCTCCTATGTTTCCTTGCTGCAGCTGGTTGCAAAGCCTCAAAATCCAAGTTACAATGGTGCCGGCCCTCTGTGGTCTTCTTGGGACACTGCCTTTCCCATGGCACCAAACATTTAACCTCTCAACGTGTACAAGCCATTCTGAATCTTCCATTACCTGCAAATCTCCAGGCTCTCCATGCTTTTCTGGGTCTTATCACGTACTGCAGGTCCTGGATACCTGAAGCATCAAAGCTCATGCAGCCACTCTATGATGCCCTCAGGAGTGAGCCCTTTCATCTCACAGAAGACACTATTATCTGTTTCCACACTCTGAAAAGAGCTATTGCTTCTGCACCTGCTTTGGGCCTACCCAACTACCAACTTCCCTTCAACCTGTTTGTCTCCGAAAAATCAGGTCATGCTTCCGGAGTCCTCACCCAGAAACATGGATCAAGACAACGCCCTATTGGCTATTTTTCCTGCATGCTTGATCCTGTTGCAAGGGGTAGCCCCTCTTGCCTCCGAGCGGTGTTTGCCGCCAGCGCTCTCCTGGACAAGACCAATGACTTTGTTCTTGGCCATCACCTTACAGTGTTGGCCCCTCACGACATTACTGCAATCCTGCAGCAAGTTCGACCTAAACACCTTTCTTCCCAACGTCACCTTCGCCTACAGACCTCCTTACTCCTCCCTGATAATGTGAAACTCCAGAGATGCCTTTCCCTGAACCCAGCCACTCTTCTGCCACTTCCCAAGGGGGGAATTGTGCATCACTGGTACAGCCTGGATATCAACCCAGAGGTTCGAGCAGATTTACAGTTGCCTGTATTCACACCCCCCATGATGAACAATCAGAAGCCCTACTCCACTGTGTCTTGTGGTTTAGGGACGTACCAAGCCCTGATGTGGACTATGAGGAAGAACTATTTCAGCTCAAAGAAATTCGTGGACTATGAGGAAGAACTATTTCAGCTCAAAGAAATTCAGATTACCCTGACTGACTTATTTTGGGACTCCACAGGTACCATGCTCATTTTGGTTCACCTTCCAGATAATGTAGCACACCTCTACCACCATTGGGAAACAGCTATCCCACACATATCCCTCACCAGATCCCACGACACCTCATGGGAGAACCTAGGCCCGATGGCCAAAACCTGGAACCAAATGTCTCAAGAACAACTGACTTCTACGGGGATAAATAAAAAGACCATTAACTACTGCACAACAGGATACTCCAGGTACCACACAGAGGCCTGTGAGGACCCACCCACCATAGACTGCAACCTCATTGATATCCCTCATGACTGTTTTGAACAAATGAAAATGGAAACTACACACCTACCAACTGTTTATGAAGCTGCATTACTCAACCCGGATCAAACACTATTTGTGGATGGCTCAAGGTTTGCTGATGAACAAGGACAATACCACACTGGATATGCAGTCACCACAGGATGTCAAATATTACAAGCAGCTGCCCTACAACCAACTAAGTCTGCACAAGAGGCCGAGTTAACAGCCTTGACTGTGGCCTGCAAACTGTCCGAAGGTCTACGTGTCAACATTTATACGGACTCAAGATATGCCCTGGGAGTGGCACACGATTTTGGCTTAATTTGGAAGACCAGAGGATTTCTTACAGCCACCGGTACCCCAGAAAAACATGGGGCAGCCATTGCAGAGCTGATGGACGCATTGGAACTCCCAGCAGAAGTGGCAGTATTGAAAGTAAAAGCTCATGGAAGATTAGACACAGAAGAAGCACGTGGCAACAGCTTAGCTGATCAGGCAGCCAAAGAGGCAGCACGACAAGGATGGGAAGTGGACAGAAGAGTGGCCACAGATATATTACCCATTTACACTATGCAAACATTGCCTACAGATCTCAGGCTGCTGAAGGAACAACAAGCTGCTGCCACTCCTCAGGAGAAACAAAGTTGGAAGAACAAAGGAGCAATACTCCGTGATGAAGTTTACACCATTAATCTCAAGTTCTGCCTACCTAGAAGTATGTACCCAGCGGTGGTCCAATGGGCCCATGGGCCAGTCCACGTGTCAAAGCTCCTGATGAACTCACTGATTGACAAGTATTTTGAAGCACCAGGCATCACTACCTTAACACAGAATTACTGCAAATCTTGTACTATATGTGCTAAATGCAATCCTGGAAAGGTCATAAAGACTGCACCTAATCATCTAGCCAAGCCACAATACCCCTTCCAGAGGATTCAGATTGACCACATTCAGATGCCAAAGAGCGGACGTTATGAATATGCATTGGTTATAGTGGACATGTTTTCAGGATGGCCAGAGGCCTTCCCAGTGACTAATCTCACCGCGAGGACTACAGCCAAGTACCTTTTGACAGAAATTGTTTGCCGCTACGGGGTTCCAGAAGTAATTGAAAGTGACCAAGGGACCTCCTTCACTGCCTCGCTAACACGGGAAGTCTGGTCAGCACTGGGGGTGACCCTTGCATTCCACACACCATATCACCCACAGAGTAGTGGTAAGGTAGAGCGCATGAATGGCACTCTGAAAGCCAGAATGCTTAAAATGTCACAAGAAACTAACATGCCCTGGCCCGAGAGTCTCCCACTAGCGTTATTCAGTGTAAGGTACACTCCCAGAGGAAAATACAGTTTGTCACCTTATGAGATTTTGTTTGGTACAGCACCCAGGTTAGGTTGCTATTTTCCCCAACAGCTTCAGATTCAGTCAGACGCTATGGTAGACTATGTGACTGCCCTCTCACATGCCTTGACCAAGATACATGCCCAAGTGTTTTCTTCTATTCCAGATCCTGAGTCGAATACAGGTACACACAAGCTGCTTCCGGGTGATTGGGTTATGGTTAAGAAGTTCCTCAGAAAACACACCCTAGAACCAAGATTTGATGGTCCTTATCAAGTGCTCCTGATTACAGCAACGTCAGTTAAACTAGCTGGGAAAAGTTCCTGGATACACGCTTCACATTGCAAAAAAGTGCCTACTCCAGAAGAAGCTGATCCTGTTGAAACATGAATTTATTATGTGTCTTGTGTTTTCTTGTGTTGTTGCACTTTGCCTGGGCCCAGCAAGTGGCCATAACCAAAGATAATCACGTTTACACTTTCTGGTACAACTCTTCTAATACTGATGTGGCCACATACACCTTTGATTACTGTGACATAGTTACTTGTACATTCCCGCAGACACAACATGCAGCCATATACAAAGACATACCTAACAAAAAGGACCCATACATTTGTGTGACTGGAGGAGCCTGGGGACACCATTGTAGTTCATGGAAAGCTGCCGGGTGGAATACAGGTAGACAGACTTGACAAAGACGGGAAGCCCCTACTTTCTAGAATGACTCTGAGTAAACCCACAGGGTCAACTCCCATTAAACCTACCCTAAATATAGAGCACCCTAGTCCAAGGGACGCGGGGGAATATGTGATGGGGATGTACTGGAAGGGAGGTGGCTCACATAATGCATTGGGGACGTTTTACCTACAAGACATGCTCACTTCCCCAGACTGGGTAGGGACCACTCACATGATCGTTAACCCATTAAAACCACATATTAAGACCCTACATGACATGGTAGCTATAGCCAACCGCACCTTCGAAGACACTATGGCAGTGGAGACTGGTTTTTCAGACACTAATTTGTGGCTAGAATGGATGAGGTACAATGCCAACTCACACAATAGAACTAATTGTTACGTGTGTGGAGGAACTTACCTCCTGAAGTAGAATCATGTGTTCTGAGTCTTTACACACAGTCCATCACCAACTCCTCAACATGTGAATCATGGAAGAGAATTTACCCGATCACTCATGGACATGTAAAACCACCTGATGGAGTCACCATCTACCCAGGTAATTACACATGTTACACAATATCTAAGAACACCGGTTTGTATCTGGGCAAATTCCCATCAGGATACTGCTCAACTTACCATAATCCACCCATATCACTGCTAATGGATCACAAAGACAATCGGTGATATCTACTGGTTATGTGGTGATAAACAATTGAGGTCCCAATTAACTGGGCAATGGTGGGGGGAGTGTGCCCTAACTAAAGTCATAATGCCTATCCATATCATTCCAGATAGTGACCATAACACGTTAAACCTCACACATGTACACTCTAGAACTAAACGAGAGACTCCTATCCGAGGGAGCTTCGACCCCCATGTGTATATTGATGCCATAGGTGTGCCAAGGGGGGTGCCTAACGAATTCAAGGCAAGAGATGAAGTGGCTGCAGGATTTGAATCCCTAATTCCAATGATAACTGCTAACAAAAATGTCAATTGGATTAACTACATTTACTATAATCAACAGCGCTTTGTCAACTACACTAGGGATGCCCTACAGGGCCTGGCAGAGCAACTGCAAGCCACTACCCAAATGACATTTCAGAACAGAATGGCCCTAGATATGATATTAGCTGAGAAAGGGGGTGTATGTAAAATCCTCCCTGAGACCATGACATGCTGCACATACATTCCAGACAACACTGGACCCAATGGTAAGGTGACTATGGCCATAGAAAAGCTAGATAGTCTTGCAGACGAGCTAAAGAAAAATTCAGGAGTCACTGACACTTGGGACAGATGGTTTGGATGGATGAATGGTTGGCAAAGGACCCTCTTCCAGGTGGGGACAGCTGTTCTCATAATGATCGTCATTTTCTTATTTTTGACCTGTTGCATATTCCCCTGCATACAGAACTACTTACAGAAAGCGGTAGACAAGACTATAGATGGCGTGACCCCTACTTTCATACACCAAGACATCACAGACCTCAAAGATGATACTCCACATACACCCCTTCAATCACATCAGTTCAAACAAACAACTGCTTTCCTGTAGGGACAGTATAGGGAAAGCGTCTGTCTTGGCAGGCGAGTCTCACGTGTGGAGATGTGGTGGACTAGCCACCGCAGGTTACCCACGGAGTGAAGTGTTCGATGCTTGTTAAGACAGATGAGCTGCAGGCAGCTAGGGACATATTAGGGACAGTAGCAGTTGTTATGGTAAATAGCCATTTTAGGGGGGACTGTTGTGGAAATAAGGTCTACACATATTTCCTAGTTAGTGAAAAATGTCTATTTACTCATTTCACGATATATATATATATATATATATATAGCTAAGCACACACGTTATAATCAAGATGGCTGCTGGAAGCTTCTAGCTCCTTCCCCCTCCCCCTTCCGTTCTCCCTCCTAACATTAACTAACTACCTCGTGCACCAAGATGGCGCCGGGAAACCGTGGGAGATTCTCATGGCCCCGGTGACATCACCTACAGTAGGCAGAGCATTGAAGCAACCACTTAACACCTAACCAATTATTGATGTATTAGTCCATGTTATCTCTGACAATGCTTATGATGTAATTTTGCTTTAAAAGGGACTTGCCGTCCCCTCTGAATAAACTTGCCTCAAGTTATTCAACAACCTAGAACCTGTGTCTGGTGTGAATTACTTCAGGGAGCGTGCACGCATTGTTTCATTGATTTGGCCAGGGGCAGATACACAAAGAAATAATCAATACTTTAATTGATTTTTCCACTTCATATACCTCACTCAACATTACTTGCAAACAGCTCATCTAAAAGTCATTCATTGATACCTGGGAGTTCCCTGGTGTGAGCAGAGACCACACACCAAATATGCAGGTCGTTCTATGCTGTCCTAAAGCCCACTTTATGTAGGACAGCATCACTAATCTGTTTATAGGTGTTTTAATTTTCTTTTTTTTTTTTCCACTTCATAATCCAGTTCAGACCAGACAAAGTCAGGGAAAACATTCTAAATTAAGAGAACTAGATATATTGTTTTGTTATATGTATTTAAGTCTACATCATGTTTTAAGTCTTGCTAAATATGAGAGCATTTCAATATTTATATATTCAAAGCTACACTCTTATTTATATACACACACACACACACACACGTGTAAATACCTTGGTCTGCTTTTTTTCTGTTGCATAAACAATGGAGGTGCAGCATACTTCAGCTAGCTTTCTCCCCTGACCATAGAATGACCAGCAGCAGATCTCATCGCCAATCACATCTTTAATAAATAGGACTCGTCCGTTAAAGCGGAGTGAAAGCTTATCAAACAGCTCAATGTTTTTCAGAAGGTTGTCATCGGAGTTGCTGCAGTGTTAGAAAAGAAAAAAATAAGTATAAAATACTAAAACTGGATTTGAAATATCTGAATAATATTTTTATTCCAATGACAGCAGTTGTAACACAAGCTTCCTTCCCATTTATATTTTTTAGTAATTATGCGCACTAGGTCTTTATTTACTACACAATACTGCAGCACCAATGTGCACTGGTGTCTGTAGAGTAGCTTTGTTTTCAGGTGGGGAAAAGCAATATCAAAGATGTGTACAGGACATGGCAGAGTCTTCCTACAGTAAAATATCTCAGTCCTGCAGGTGTGTAGAAGTGTTTAATGTAGATCATTACACGGGTATATTTACAGAGAAAATAAATTTTCTTACAGTTAAAAGAAAAAAATAAAAATACAAGAGAAGGCATTCACCAAATTCTCAGAACAGTAATTTGTTTAAGGAACCCTCCTGCAATGTTTCAGCCCCAATAGGGGCTTTTTATCAAGCCTGAGAATTGATAAAAGCCCTTATTGGTGCTGAAACGTTGCCGGAAGGTTCCCAATAGGATAGTTCTCATACTTTGTATGTGCCAGATGTTCTTAAGAACATTACAGTAAATTATAATCTAGAAAGAGAGTCTAAAGCAGACTTATACGGTGCTATTTTTATATGCAGTAAAAAACACACCCTTCTCCTGGCTACAAAGTTACACCAATTACCTCGTTGGTGACAAGTTGGAAAATCTAGCACATAAGAAATAATTCTACCCTAACTGCCAACTGCTGAAATTTGGCATGATTGAAGTCCTGTTGTCAAATATCAGCAGGGGATATCCTGCTCATTGGCCACTATTAGCTCTGTATCTCCCAGTAGACATAAAATGTGTGACGTTTCATTTTGGAAGAGTTTCCTTAAAGAATGGGACTTTTATTGTTTGATAATGTTAAAGTCTGCCAATGACAATCACACATTTCCAATGCTTTTTTTTGTTGCTTCTTCAATTTTGCCATTATTTGTTCAAAAAGTCCCTATACTTTACATTTAGCAGTCAATCACAATTACTCCAAAAGGTGATTTATTGAAACAATGAAGGAAACAAAAATGTGATTTATTGAAACACTGAAGGAAACAAAATAATCTTACTTTATCCAATTAAACAGCAAAAAACACTTGCTAAATCACTGAAAACAAACACATTTAGCTTAAAAATAAATAAATCGTTCAGCACATAAACAGAACAAACACCACCAACACCTCCCCAGAGCAGATAACATTTGGATGCAATGTTACAGTGACATTGATTATACAACAAAGGTCCTTGCACATTACAATCTAAATGGCTGCTTTGAAAAACTGACATGTCATCTAATATCACTATGGCAACTGATAACCTTCAAACTGATTTAATTGCAAATCTTAAATTTGTCAGTTAATCTCACAATCTTGGACCCTGAAGCTATGGACTATAAATTCTTTATTTAGTGATGACCATGCAAGCAGAAAATACATAAGATTTAGTGCAAGGTTCAGATAAATGGCGCTAAATATATTCATTGGGACTGCATAACTGATCAAAAGTCACAGTTATGAACCAGATTTCTACATTTTTAAGAACAAATAAGGGTGATGTGTCCTATTCAAATGAACACAACCAAGAAAAAATAAAATAAGCAAACAAACCAAACAGAAAGGAGAGAGATCCCCATGTGGTACCACAGGCCATGATGCAATGTTAATTACAGGATACAGAACTATTATATGTTTATCATCATTAATTCCTATTATAACTGCTGACAGAGGGAAGGTGTGTCTTTTTCCCAGGTAGAAGCTAAAGTCTTCCGAGCAGCAGGAGAAATTCTAATCAATTTTTGTTGAGCTTTGGTGAACTCTTCCAGTGGTCTAGTTTGACAGGTCTACCAAAAAGTATGAGAAGCCAACCTCTATTTCTTCTCAATAAGTGTCAACCTTAGGGCACATCCATCACATATGAAATTACATCTTTCAATATATATACGGGAAAGGGAAAGCATTAATAGGATATATAATGAAGTGACGAGTCCCCGCTGTAGAAGCTCTTTAGCATACAAAGGTCATCAGATGAGTGGCTGCCGCAGCCCATATTTCAGAAGTTTTGACAAAATCTATGAGTTACCTGAAAAGTCTCCAGGAGACATTTATTTTTTTTAATGAGTCAAATTACATACGCAAGTCTCCTACCCTCAAATCACCAATTCTCTGGAGACCTGCCTCCTCCAGACTGTGGAAATGTATTGCCATAAGAACAAGTGGGAAGGCTTGGTTTTTAAGAAAGGGGAACACTTAGGTGATAGCCCCATTGTTAAGTTTATCCCATATACTGTGGAAAGTAAAAACAGCATGACAACCCTTGTAAAGGAGCGATCTGCGTTCACATGGGAGCAACATAAAGGACTGCAGGAGATCAGAAGCTAATATGGTCAGCCTTCACGTTAGCCCACCGTTTCCACTTAATAGGGAGGAGCCACAGCACCACTGGCAATAGTTGCACTACATAATATAGGAGATGGGGAATCTAGACTCTGTCTTGAACTACAACACCACTAGTAAAGACCAGTTTTAAGTTAATTCTAATTTCTGACCTTGGAAGTTTTTCTGGCTGAGAAGGACCTTAAATTTTGGTTTGAATTGACACAATACCATGCTAAGCTCAGTTAACCTTATCAATCAAAAACCAGCACTGGATTCAGGGCCACTGTTAAGATGGTATTGACAAAGGGTAGGCAACCTTTAGCACTCCAGATGTTGTAAACTATATCTTCCTTAATGTTTTGCCAGTATTATGGCTGTAAGAGCATTATGGGAGATGTAGTCTCTTGAGTGCCAAATGTTGCATACCCCCTGGTACAGACTGTTAATAAAGAAACACAGGGTATAATATTTCCTTAGCAACATATTCCAAGAATTTCCAAGAAATGGCTGTTGGATAACCCACCTGGTATAGGAGTATTTGTTGTTACTTCTGTTGTATAGCAGCTTAACTACAGGCTGTTGGATAAACATAGAAAAGTTATCTTAGTTAGTTCAGTTGAGACTATGCAAGTGTTTAATACACCACAATAATGGAGGAAATAAAAGTAAATGTACAGTAATTATATAATACATATTAAGCTGTAAAAAAAACAAGTAAAATAAGATGGATGGTATAAATAACAAAAATAGCCGTGACATCACCAAGAAAAATTAGACGCCTAGCTTGTTTTACGTCACCTGGAACAATGATGTTTATTCGCTATGTACCAATAGACAGTCACAAGCTAGCAAGTTCAAGTTAGGTGGCTAAAAAGCTCTTCTTCTGCAGACAGTCATGTCAAGTCAGTATGAATTGACTTCAATTCTGGAAGCAGTTCTTGATTTAGTGAACAGAGTACATTCGAAAAGCACACTGTATTATGGGAAAATCATGACGGCAGCAATACTGGCTTTTCCTTTATGGAATTCCCCTAACAAGGACCCTGTGTAATTCTCGATTACAGAAATGCACTGGAAGCCAAGTAAATAAATGTAATTTAAAAAAAACAAACAAAAAAAAAAACACCTTGGCAGATGATTCAATCAGCTTCTCTTCTTCTTTAGGAGATGTGATAATAGGGATATTACATACTGCCTCGTAGGACTCATTTTTATCCTGAAAGAAAGGAGATGATCAGATAATCAGTAAACTGGAAAAGCCAATACATTTTATACAGCAGAGATCTGATTTATGTAATTCATTGGGAATATAATATGCACGTGGATAGAATTATTATTTAACAGGATACATTTACAGAAACAGTACTAGCTTACTATGGTTAATCACCACTTTGGTGTATTCAATCTCATTACACTGGGAACCTATACAATTTGCTTTTCAAACTGCCCGCCTTCACAAACGCAGCTCAGAACTGAACAGCCAGCAAGCACACTCTGCACAATAGATACTGTAAAGTAGACCATTGTTTGACTTTCTTGGCGCTCACCAGGGAGATGTGGCTAAGAGAAAGCTAGTCCCAGCGAGTAAGGTGTCCTTACCTTGATTACCCTTTAAACGTAGGGAGACTCCGTAAAAGAATAAAGAAAGAGATAATTTCCCTTTTTCCGTCAAAAAAATAATTGGATCAGAACCTGGGAAAGTGCGGTCAGGATGGTGGTACCATCTCCACCGAATGGGCTTGAACCCTTGTAGTTTAATTGCAAAAGAGGAGCAAATAAGGAAGAGTAATCCCCAGAATATGGGAATATTCAGTGCTGATTTAGGTATTGTAGGCACTTAAAATGTTTACACCATGATATATCTTGGTAACTTGCTTGGAGATAATAGGTATGAATCAGGGGAAAGTATCCATATAGTTGACTGTAAATCTATCCTACGTATCCATTGAGAAATAAAACTTTATTGACCTATCTATAAAAGATACAATAGGAGCAATTGTAACAACAAAGATACTTATGAAATGTATATCCCAAATAATTCAGGAGGGTTACAAAATAACTTGTTTCTGAGTAGGATCGTTCCAAAAGGGTACTCAAAATAATCCTGGTGCAATGTAGACTTTACTATTTTGACACGGGATTATTCACTAAATTGTCATTGTCTGGTTTCCCTCTAAAGACGAAAGTTGCTGTTAGCAGGATGACCTACTGGCGCTAAAAAAAAATGATGTAGCTGCAGAAAACCAGAGCTTTATGTCCAAAGAATGTCTCTTCGTTTGTAATGTTGCAATGACATTTATATAAGTTAACTTGGGTAGCTTCGATCTGTGAACATTCTATTAACACCCCAGTGTACTAAGGAGAACGGAGACCACATTCAAACATAGTCTAATGCTACTGCTTGTTCCCTAAATCTCCTAGTAACACCTTCGTGGGTGTTCTATTCTGCGGCTATTGCTAAGATAAGCTTCGTGTCATACAGGCTTCAATCATACCAAATTTAATCTCCAAGTTACAGAAAACATCAAAGGGAAAGTAGAAAAAAAAAAAAAAAAACGGGTCTCAATACCCAAAAAGTGCATAATAACGTGCTCTGGTGAATTAAAATTGAAAAAATAAACCCGTAAAAAGTGCAAGCAAGAGAAAACTAAATACAGACATTTGCTGTATACTATGAATGCAATCTCTACAAATGGACATGCTTTTATATTACAAACAGATAGCACTACACATACAGAGGAGATACTATTACAATCATTGCAGCATACGAAGCAACCTTGTGCAATTAAATTCTAAAGAGAGAAGATCATCAATAAAAGAGCAAATGATGTTTAAACAGCCATTTTCTCACTATTCTTCAATTCTTAGTATGTTTAAAATGTTTTGAAAGATTATTCAAAGTGTGTTGTGCTAATAGATAAATGGAATGTTTAGCATTTGTGGGCTCCAAGTCATTAGGGTTCTTAGCATTTAGCTTTTACCATGCCACACAATCAGGGTTTCTATTCAACTCCACTCAACAAGCACTGACAATGTACACAATGGTGCAGAAAGAGTATCCAGAGAATTAAAAATTTTAAAAAAATATATTGCATAACCATGGTTTACAGTCGTGTAGCCATCACCACCTAATTAGTTTCACCCCTATAGTCATTTTGTCTTAAATGGTTATGGCTGTACAACTGTATGTAACGGTATTAAATATAATTTTTTAAAAACATTATTTAAAATGATCCTTGGTATGTTGGCATCATTGTGCATCCCAACAAATGACCTATGTTCTACAAAATCAGTTGTGTGGGGGCTTAAACCTGCAATGTTATGTGAGAGTTCGTGATTGATTACATATGCGTGTTTTTTTTTTTAAATGTAAAATTCTTATTTCTACATAGATGGCAGGATACTATGAATAGCGGAAAGTTGTGCAGGGATGTGGAATTCATAACGCCCGATGCTTGAGGCATGCTGTTCTGGGCATAAAGATTATTATTATTTTTTTTATTATTCTTTTAGCCCTGCCGTAGGCAAACTGCAGGGCTGCCTTGGGGAGGGGAGTTGGTGCCTGGTAGGAAGTGTATCTAGTGCAGGCAGAATGCTGGACAGGCCCACCCAGAAACATATACAGGGATGTTGTAACGGTGGATGTGTGTCAGTGTGTATGGGTCAGTGTATCATAATCACAACCACACACCCCACCCGAAAGCCAGCATACACCACACTTGTAACAAACACAGTCAGTACTTTCTGCACGCACATTACACAGAGCCAGCACACACTGTAAACAAATACGACACACAGCCAGCACTCACCTCACACACCACACCCCCTATGAAGAAAAGGGATACTACTGGAAAGCAGAGGGTAAGACACTCCGTGTAATTCAAAAGACTGAATTTTTGCAAAACAAATAAAAATATATATCCATATATATCCATGTGACTATGGCAGAGAATTCTTCCACATTTTTAACTAGTTTTACCTCCATTTGTACTTTCAAATTTATTTTGTGAAAATTCGGTGTTCAACAAATAGCTCTGGGCAGGGGCCTCAATCTTAAGATTTGTTTTGTGCCAGGACAAGAAGATTGTCATGACTGAAAAGTATTTTTTTTAAGAAAACAATTTCAAACCTATGTGTAACAGGAGTGTCTGTATAAAGTTGCCCTATAAAGGGATTCAGAAACAAGGTAAAGAAAATTGTCAGAGAAAATAAAAAATTAACAGAGTCTGTCCTTGTCAATACATAAAATGCCAATTTCAATAGAAAAATCAGTGCTTCTACCAACCGACAAAGTTACACATCCTGATGGGAGCCGTAGAGCTCTGATAAGGGACTGTCTCACTGCTTGATTATAACGTTATCTCTTTATTTATAACTTTCATATGGGAGACTCATTAACTGTCCAACAACCCAGCATTATAAATGCCTGGGGAAAGAGAAAAGCAAAACAAATAAATAAATAAACCCCACACATATCTCTACCTGAAACAAAGATCCTAAGAGACCTAAGCACACCTGCATGTTGCATGCCATTGGAATGAGATAGACCGGTAGTGTGTTACTAATCCTCACCTGTAACGCTGTCTGGCATTTGTCTACCAAGCCCTGAATGAGGTAATATTTAGCCTCAGCCATTAGCTCTTTGATCTCATGTCTGTTCTTTGGAAGTGCAATGGTGTCATCTCGAAGATAGTTTAAAATACTCCCAAAGTGTTTACCACAACGGTCAATGAGAATCCAACCTGTAAACACAAAAAGCATTAATTGCATAACTTACAGTTGTGTTATGGGCTTATGCAAATATTTTATGTTTTTAGAATGAAAAATTATATTTCTTAAACTGTGTACTTTGTCTTTAACCCCTTAAGGACACAGCTTCAGAAGCTTGACTTACGCTTAATGACACAAGCAATTTTTGCATTTTCTTGCTGTTTGCGTTCAACTGCAATTTGCATCTCTCTCATTTATTGCACCGACACATATTATATACTGTTTTTTAAAGGACAGAAAGGGCTTTAATTTGATATAACATATATATATATAAATGCTTACTTATTATAAAAAAAATACAGAAAAATGCAAAAAAAATGAAAAATATTGGGTTTTTTTTTACAGTTTTTGCAATAATAATGTGTGCATAATTAGTGCAGGTTAAGGAAAGTAATTAAAAATAAATTTATTTATTTGTTCTGATTTACAGAATATATAATGTGTCTGGGATTTTAAGTTTTTTTTGGTAGTTACAGGTCACAAAGCACAAGGAGTAAAATAAACTTTTAATGTGGAGCGATTTTAGTATCTGGTATGTTTGTCTTGTAAGCTTAATAGCCATAAAAGAAAACAAAATTGCCACACAAAAGTATATATTTATATAAAGTAGACATCACAGGCTGTTTACCTAAGGTTGTTTTGACATTTTCTACGTAGCCATTTCACCGCCAACCTCTGCTAAATATTGGAGTAAAATTGTGTTTTGTTTTTTTTTTTTTAACAAAGAAATCCTCATGTGTATTTTAAAATTGGTGTGTGCTATTCCTGTACAAAGTTTTATTTTGTGTTCAGTTATATCTGCTGAGTAAAATGACACCCCCATTGTATGTCTTTTGCACTATTTCGTGAAGTTACAGTGCCATACAGGATACCTGTCCTTTTCAGTATTCACAGTAGAATTTTGAGAGATGAATTTAATGAGCCTTAGCTTCCATTTGGGGTATTATAACAGTTTGACTGTTCAAAAAAACCCCACAAAGGCCTACCATTTGTAAAAGTAGACACTCCAGGGTATCTTATAAGGTGCATATTGTGCCTTAACATGCCCCCATTTTTTCACCAATATATGCCAAAGTATGTGGTAAAAAAAAATTTTGTGCATTTTTTACATACGGATTGCATTTTTGCTGGGCGTTTTGTATATTTCATATGTGCCACTAAGTTCAAACCCCCCAAATTATGCTCAGCTAAGTCTTCTGAGTAAAATGACACCCCATATGAATGTCTTTGGCACTATTTCGTGAAGCTACAGTGCCATATAGGAGACCTGTCCTTTACAGTATTCACAGTAGAATTTTGAGAGACGGATTTAATGAGCCTTAGCTTCCATTTGGGGTATTATAACAGTTTGACTGTTCAAAAAACCCCCACAAAGGCCTACCATTTGTAAAAGTAGACACTCCAGGGTATCTCATAAGGTGCATATTGTGCCTTAACATACCCCCATTTTTTCACCAATATATGCCAAAGTATGTGGTAAAAAATTATTTTGTGCATTTTTTACATACGGATTGCATTTTTGCTGGGCGTTTTGTATATTTCATATGTGCCACTAAGTTCAAACCTCCCAAATTATGCTCAGCTAAGTCTTTTGAGTAAAAATACACCCCCAATGAATGTCTTTGTCACTATTTTGTGAAGCTACAGTGCCATATAGGAGACCAAGCCATATCCGTTTTTACCAAACTTTGAATTTTGACGCTGGGCCTATGTGCAATTTCCAAGCATCTTCGCAGGTTTTAAATTCAATCTACCCCACAAAGGCCTACCATTTCTTAAAGTAGACACCCCAGGGTGTTTCAAAAGGTATAGTTTGAACCTTAGCGTGGGATCATTTTTCCGCTAGCTTGTACCAGATGTAGTGGTAATAAGCATTTTTCTGCCTTTTTGACATACAAAGTGAGTTTGCGCAGCATATTTTGCAAACCTTATGTGTGCTATGACTGTATAATACTTCATATGTTGCTCAGCTATGTCGGCTGAGTACAGCAATACCCCCGTATGTACCTTTGCCAGGTATGTGTGGACATCGGAGGGGCACATTTGGGACACAGCCATTCCAGTTTTTTTCAAACTTTGAATTTTTATGCTGTGCCTATGTCCCATTTTAGAGTATTTTACCAGGCTATATAATCCAAATTCCCCATAAAGCCATACCATTTCTTAAAGAAGACATCCCAGGGTATTTCAAAAGGCATATTTTGAACCTTAGTGTGGGATCATTTTTCCGCTAGCTTGTACCAAGTGTAGTGGTAATAAGCATTTTTTCTGCCTTTTTGACATACAAAGTGAGTTTGCGCAGCATATTTTGCAAACCTTATGTGTACTATGACTGTATAATACTTCATATGTTGCTCAGCTATGTCGGCTGAGTACAGCAATACCCCCGTATGTACCTTTGCCAGGTATATGTGGATGTTGAAGGGGCGCATTTGAGACGCAGCCATTCAGTTTTTTTCTAACTTTGAAGTTTTACGCTGTGTCCATGTTCCAATTTGGAATAGTTTAGACGGTTGGTTATTGAAACTTCCCCACAAACACATACTATTTATTAAAGAATACACCCTGGGGTAATTCAAAAGGCATATTTTGAACCTTGGCGTGGGATAATTTTTTCTCTAGTTTGTTCCAGGTGTAGTGGTAATGAGCGTTTTTAAAATGTATTTTTTTACTTTTTATAACTTTTTTACTTTTAAAAACTAGTTTTTAAACTTTTGTTTTGCTTATAAATTTTTTTTAAACTTTCCTAAACTTTCTTAAAACTTTTTTACAGATTTAACATTTTTCTAAGCTATTTTTTTTACTGTTAACCCCTAACTAGCAGTACGCAGCACTAACAGTAAATTCCCCATTTTCCCATAACTCCCACCCACCCCAGCTAGCAAAATATATAGTTATAAAATATTTAAATTAATTAATTAAATAAATTGAACCCCTGAGGGTTAAAAAAATAAATAAAAGTTAATCCTCAGGGGTTAAAAAAAATTAGATCACAGTATAATACTGTGATCTCTATTTGATCGCTGTAGGCAGTGATCGACTGGCAGGGAAGGGGTTAATTTTTATTTGGACTAGGTAAAGTGTGTTTTTTTGTTTTTATTACTTAAATGTTATTAAAACATTTTTTTAAGCTTAATTTTTAACTTTTTAAAGTTTCTTTTAAAACGTTAACCCCTAGTTAGCCTAACGTCAAATCCCCCAATTCCCCACTAACTTCCACCTACCCCAGCTATCTAAATATATAATTTAAAAATAATTTAATTAATTAAATTAATTTAACCCCTGAGGGTTAAAAAAAAAAGAATTAACCCTCAGGGGTTAAAAAAAAAAAATCAGATCATAGTAAAATGTAATCCCTGCCAATTGATCACTGTAGTCAGTGATCAATTGGCAGGGAAGGGGTTAATTTTTTATTAAAATGGGTAAGGGGGGGGGGACTTTAAATTAACTTTATTTTTTTTAACAGCAGGGGGCAGGATCAGCACTGATCCGGCTCCCTGCACTTCACACAGAACCCGGAAGTGCAGGGAGCCGGTAGGTGAGTATACAGAGCACATGTGCTCGCTCAGACTTGTGGTCAGAGCGAGCACATGTGCTGGGCAGCTTGACCGGGTGCTCCCGGTATGCCTCCAATGCGGAGGCATACCGGGAGCACCATTAACCCCGCGATCGCCGCGATAGCGGCGATCCGGGGTTAATTTTACCGCGTGACGGACGAGGTCCGTCACCCATCGTTAAGGGTCTCCCCTGTGTGACGGACCTCGTCCGTCACCCGTCCTGAAGGGGTTAAGAGATTTTGCAAAATTTGAAAAATTGTTAGAAATGGAGAACATTGTTTTTCATACAATGTTTCTTTAATAAATGACCACTTACCCATATTTAATGAATATGGGGTTTAGACTTTGGGATACCATTTTGTCCTAGGTTAATGTAACACCAAGTCAGGGAATTTCCCATGTCATGTCCAACCCTAAATGATCACTATAGGGTCAGGAACATAAAAAAGTATTCCTGACCCTGTAGTGTTAAAACCCCCATCTAACCCCCCTGGCTCCCCTAGTCTCCCTAAATATAGTAAAAGCTTACTTGTATTTAAGTCCGCAGCTGCTGGTCTGCCCCTGTCTGCCTCTGACCTGCGTGCTGACATCATCAGAAGTGGTGGTCTGAGCCAATCACAATGCTTCCCCACAGGATTGGCTGAGACTGTTAAGGAGGCAGATCAGGGGCAGAGCCAGCACAAGTCAAACACAGCCCTGGCCAATCAGCACCTCCTCATAGAGATGAATTGAATCAATTAATCTCTATGAGTAAAGTTCAGGGTCTCCATGCAGAGAGAGAAGACACTGAATGGCAGTGCTGCACGCTAGGCAGCACTGTCACAGGAAGCAGCTTTAGCTGCCATATAAGGAGTGACCAGTGAAGTTATCACTAGGCTGTAATATATACACTGCATTTTCTCTGAAAAGAGTGTTTACAGCAAAACACCTGAAGGCAATGATTCTACTCAATAGAACAAATGCAATAAGCTGTAGTTGTTCTGGTGACTATAGTGTACCTTGAGTTTTAGTCCATGGCCTCGTACCTTTGCCGTGGTAAGTCATAACATGATCTAATCGAAAATCTAAGATATTAGTATTAAAGGGACACTATAGTCACCTGAACAACTACAGCTTATTGTATTTGTTCAGGTGAGATCTATAGCTCCCTGCAGGCAAACTAATGTAAACACGGAATTTAAGAGAAAATACAGTGTTTACATTGATTGATAGGAATAACACCAGTGGCCGTCACTCAGATGGCCACCAGAGGGACTTCCTATCATGTAGGGCCCTAAAAAGGCCTTGTACACATCAGACGTATTAAAATAGGTCTGATGTGTGCAGGAGAGAGAAGGCACTGTGTGCGCGCCTTCTCTCTCCTGCCTGGAGAGGGGGCGGGCAAAGACTGCAAGCTGAGCGGTCAGTCAGTATTGCGCTCAGGACTTAAAGTATGTGCGGAGAAGCTGCGCATGCGCACAAGGGAGCAATGACGCTTCCAAATGGAAGCGTCTGATTGCTCCCTGCTCGCGCCCGCCTATTTCGTCATTTTGACAAAATAGGGGGCGCGGCTTCACGAGGCTCCCGGCGCGGGAATCAGGTAAGTAAAACGGTCTGCCTGGAGAGTCCCTTTAATATTAGACACGGGAGAGAGTTTTGGATCCAGAGACGCTGCTATCATAACTGGGAGGTTGATTTGTTCAAGAGGGTATGTTATTCTATTTTGCTGATATTGCAAGCATATAATGCAGTGGTTCCCAAACTTTTTAGGTTCAAGGCGCCCTTAATATTTCATTATTTCTCCATGGTACCCCTAGTCAAAATTTCTAGGTTGTATATCTGTACAGCGCTGCAGCACTTACTGGCGCTATAGCGTAATGTACAGTGTTGGTGTTTGAAGGTGTGATTGTATACATTTATTGTGTTTTAATAAAGGGGTGTGTTTTTATGTAATGTTTGCGTTTGATTGCAGGGGTGTGTCTGAATGTAAATTTCACTTTTAAATGTGCATTTGTGTGAAGTATTTGTGTTTGAGTGAAGGGGTGTGTTTGCATGTAAAATTTGTGTTAGATTGCATGAGTGTGCTTGTATGTTGTGCTGGTGTTTGACTGCTTGGATGTATGCACATACATACATACATACTTACACAGGTATTCATGCACATTAACACACGGATGCATGTAAATACACCGACAAGTACACACCAACATATACACACATACAACCTGACACACACAAACATTGATACATGCCCACACCCTGACACACAGATGTGTGTGTACACACAGACACAGAAGCACACTGACTACCTTAAAAAGCTTTCCCACACCGTGCAATTTAAGGGCTCTGAATGATCGACTCTGGTTTAATTCTTTATTATAAATAGTTGCGAAGCGACTTTATGTATTTTAATTTGTCCTTTATTGGGACTGAAGAAAAGAAGATGGAAAAAGAAAGAGGACATCTAATGGTATTTATTTATTTTAAATTTAACGGTACAGTATTTAGTTTATTACCCCCGCTAGTCACTAGGGGGCTAATATTTGTTTAATATAGTTGGGGGGTGGGGACAATAGGTCCACGACACTTTATTTAGTAGACCCCACCCGTGGCCACAGGGTAGAAAGTGGACACTAGGTCCTTTGTATATTTTAATAACCCCCACTCGCAGGGAACGTTGATTTCATTTAAGAGCCACCTGCTGGAAGGGTTCACTAAGTCCCCTGCTTATTTCAGTGGCCCCCACTCACGGGGCACGGTGAGAACACTATGTCCTCCTTACTTAATTATTTTATTAGATGCTGCACCACAAAGTCATGGAAGACCTGTGCCAAGTCCACCTTTACTGGAATAGCGACTGGGCAGTAATAGCTGCCTAGTCACCATTTTTTTGGCTGCTCGCTGCTTAGTAGACATACTAGGTGCCTGGCTCGGGACATGGATCCCGTTTCAGCCCCTGTAACTGCAGTCCTACAGTTCCTGACTTCCCTCTTTGAAGCAGGTTACGCATACAGGACCATCAACCTATATCGGTCGGCCATCTCCTCAACGCATCAGGGGTTCGATGGCTGCCCGGCGGGCCAGCACCCCCTGGTGTGCTGGCTCCTAGGTTCTCGCCTCTCTCTGCCACCCAGACCACGATACACCGCGAGCTGGGATGTATCGGTGGTGTTATCCTTCCTCGCTTCTTGGCCCATTAACCCCTTAAGGACACAACTTCTGGAATCAAAGGGAATCATGACGGAATATTTCCGTCATGTGTCCTTAAGGGGTTAATTCCACGCTCTCCCTAAGACAACTATCAGCCAAGTTGGTCTGTTTCTTTTGTCTCATCTCCTGTAAAAGGGTCTCGGATGTCCGAGCACTGGACTTTAATGCCAGATCATATACCCCAGAAGGAGTGACATTCAACATCAGCAGACGCACCAAAACTTCTATTAGGTCAGTATCTTATCCGAGTTTCCCCACTACACCAGCGCTATGTCCGGTGGTTTGCCTACGCGAATATGAGGATCGCACCAAGCTACACCGTTCCGCATCCTCCTCCCCCCCTCCCAATCTATTTTTATCTACCCGTCCGCCGTTTCAACCAGTAACTAGCACCACTTTGTCTCGATGGGTTAAATGGCTACTCTCTCAAGCCGGTATTGACACTGCGATTTTCGGCGCCCATTCGATCAGGGGGGCCTCGGCCTTGAGATCTTGTAGCCTTCAATGATGGCTTCAGGCGTGCGCCTGGAGGACCTCATGAAGATGGCCGACTGGTCGAGGGAATCGTTTATTCGGGAATTCTACTTCAGACCGGTTCCTCATACGTTTGCGGCAGTAGTCGATCAGCTTGTAAACTTGCAATATGAGCCTCCGTGTCTTGTCATAAAATTGCATGATTTTGCTATTACATGACGAAAAGTCAGGATTTTATTAAAGACACGGAGGCAAGTATTGTCCCACCCATTTTATACTGCTCAGGTTATGACTTGTTTGTTCCCCCCCCCAGTTTATTTCAATATATAGGTGAAATGTATCGCTTTGATTGGTACGGTAAGTGGGAAATGTGTTGGAAGGGATCTGATGTAACTATGTCAGTTTGGGTCTATCTGGTTATTTCTCTGCAGATGTTGGTTGGGCCTTGCTCTGTCTGGCCTTGATGTCAGTCTCAAGTACCGATTTCACCCTCGGGCTCCTGTTCTTTATGTTTTCACAGCCTAATCAGCTCCATTGGAATGTCTGGTTTCGGCATGTGAAGCCCTCTCCCTGCGAATACAGTTTGATCGGCAGTCATCAAGTTGTGCTTCCATGTTAATTGATGTTATGATCCTCCTCTTGGGTTGACGTTTCTACGTTTTTGTTTATCTCTGGACTATATTGCTGTTCCTGTTATGGACTTTGTGTATAGTGTCGCATCTCCAGAAAGAGGAAAATGGAAGGGAAGTGCTGCCTAGTATACTGGGACCTGTGCAGGGAGGGGCCTATGTTACTGTATGTTCATTGTTTTTTTCATTCTGTTTATATCCTTTGCTGCTATTGGTGGACAGTAAAGAAAGGGATATGCAATACTCGCCTCCGTGTCTTTAATAAAATCATGACTTTTCGTCATGTAATAGCCAAATCATGCAATTATAACAGATACAATACCTAAACAACAAAAGAAAAGGAGATTGGACTGGCAACAATGTGGCACCTATATCTTTCTATGGGTGTACCAAGTATCTATCATGTAGGTATTTATGGGAGCTATAGTCCACCTTCCAACTTTATAGTGAAAACTGTAAAGCCTCAAGCTAGTTTAATTAATAAAAGCCACATATGTACAGTATAGCATCGACCAGATAGCTCAAGCCGTTTTTTTTTTTGTAGGTTGTATAGCTATAACAGAAGCCTGACAAGTAAAACTACAAATTCCATAATCCATGCCGAGCAATTCCCAGGATATACAGTGCCATACACAGTATCATTTACAGCTGTATTATTAGAGGAAAATGGCAGATGCTAACAGATGCTGGGGGCAATAAATATAATGGTGTTAGTTTTAAATGTGTATTCATTAACTAGCTAGTTGGCAAGATAACTGAAAAAACACAGGTAAACATGGTTAAATATGAAAACATAATCTGACAATTTAGGCCTGAGCTTTGCAAGTATCTTACAAGCTGAATGAACCCTTAAATTAAATGAAATATTTGAGATTTTTTATTTCTGTGATGTGGCTAAGCAAACATGGGAAATGTAGTTTTTAAAACACGTGGTTTCCCAAAGTTAACCATCACTACCATAAGTCTTCATTCAACTTGACAAAATGAAAAGTTCACAATAACACATGTAGACATAAAATGAAAGCCATATAAACCAATTCGCCTGTAAAGTGCAGTGCATGTAATTAAGCCTGCAGTAACTTTGCAGTTACATCTATTAGGTCAACATATAAAAAGGTCCATTTTAGTCAGGAGGACACAAACACTATAGTACAAGAGTAGGCAACATTCCGTACTTAAGATCTTGTAGCCTACATCTCCTCTGATGTTTTCCTAGCAATATGGATTTTCCTAGCAATATGGATGTTAGAGCATTAAAGGAGTTGTAGTCCACAACATTTGGAGTGCTGAAGGTTTCCTACACCTGCAGTGTTTACAGTGGAGATAGTTGTGCAGTTGAATTGGGACTTTTTTTCCCAAAAGAGTATTAAGTCATAACATTGTCCGGTGTGCGGCTTCCTGTTTTTAGATTAAATGGATGAGTGAATTTCTTTGTGGTTTGTTTGGAGAAAGCCCATTGTGTCTGTTTCGAGAAATGCACAAAGTGATCAAGGGTAAATTCCAACATATAATTAAATCAAAGAAACACCAACAAAGAATCAAACTAGAAAATATTCTGGTTGGATCATAACTACCTTCAGTGGGATTACTTAAAATTTAGTAAGCACTCATTTAAAACCAACAATAAGATATTTAAATTCCAACAAGCATAGCAATGAGGCATATGGCTGCATCACTGACTGCGCTGCCCTTTCTAGCAGCAACTGTTATGCAATAAAAAAAATAAATTAAAAATCAGTGGAGTCAGTGGGTTAACACATGTAGTGCTGTATGGACAGCAATATCTGCCATTATGATCATTGCAGTGGATATCCCGCGAGACTAGGCACATATAGGATATTACAGCACTGTCCCTTGAAGCGGTAGTCCAAGGGCTATAATCACTACAGACCATGCTAGTATGTTTGTATTTTTGTAATATGCCTCCATTTACTTCCAATAAAACAGGTAGAAAAGAATCATCTTACCTTCTTTGTCTGTGAGGACCTCCATTCGACCACTAAACATAGCCTTCAGCATGGTGTCATGTCTTGTGAGAACCTGTACTGTAGTGTAGTATAAAGAGCCTCCAACATTTAGCCGTATGTACTTGTTCCCAAGGCACCCTCCTTTAAAGCTGTAGGTTTTCGGTTTGGCGCCCGAAGCAGGGCACATCGCTGTCAAACAAGTGTCACCAGACATTTCTCTTTGTAAATAGACGATGACTCTGCACACAGTGGGCTTCACGTGTGCTGCCGTGGTGGGATGAGGCAGAAGGAAGGAGCTTTTCGGTTAGCAGCAACTGGATGCTTGCTAACTTATCACAATCTTCTCAAACAAATGATGCAGATGAAAAAAAAAAAAAAAAAAGTATTAAATATAACATGACCACTTTAGGAGTTTATACAACAAACTTTTTTCTGACTCCCAAAGCATATAGAGTTGTTCTTCTTGACAGCCACTAAAGGGGGCTTCCGCTGCTATAACTGACTGTTTTTAAACCAATGCTTCTGATAAATAGCATTTGGTTGGAAGAGCATGGCAGATGTAGCATTGGATTGGGAGGAAGAAACAAACAAAAACAAAAAACGGGGAGGAAAGAAGTCCCTGTAGTGGCAGGGAAACATTTTCTGAACTATACGTTCCCTTTAAATAATGAGATAATCAACTTTGTATAAGCAAATAAAATTCACTAATGAAGCGAATGCGGATTCGAGAAACTAATTTACAAAGCAGAGAGTAGTTACTGTTTGTGCTTTACTATAAAGTCTACAAAACACTTGAATAGAAATGTTTAGCAGCTATTCACAAGTATGAATGGCAGGGAGTACAAAATGAATTCCAAATTTTATGCCAAAGCTGAAAACCAATCTGAAGATTTTATTTTTCCCACTTTGGCAATTTTGCTTTGAAATTTAAATTCACACTTTAGTAAATGTTGTACTGTAATGAGATTGAGTTCTTCTTTTAGTAAGTTATAGTACCTATGTGTCCAAAACATAACCAAAATTCTAAATTCCCAAACTCTAAATTAAAACAAAAAAAAGAAGCTTCATTTACTAAATAGATCTTTTTTTTTTTATTTTATTTTTTTAAATTCTTTTATTCAATTTCTTACAAACATTTACTAAATAGTTCTACAGATAATTGAAAACCGAATTCCAAAATTTAGTCAAAAAGTTCAGGTCTTGGAAAGATTTTCCATTTCATCTAAAAATGACTCCTAGGTAGTGATGTCCCGAACGGTTCGCCGCGGACAGCGAACATATGACCCTGTACCTCACAGTCAGCAGACACATTACAGCCAATCAGCAGCAGACCCTCCCACCTCCTGGACAGCATCCATTTTGAAGCTGCATTCTTAGTGAGCTGTCCAGGAGGTGGGAGGGTCTGAGAGGGAGGGTCTGCTGCTGATTGGCTGGAATGTGTCTGCTGACTGTGAGGTACAGGGTCATATGTTCGCCGTCCGCGGCGAACCGTTCGGGACATCACTACTCCTAGGCAATTTTAGTCTAGCAGGGATATTTACTAAAAAGATAATTCAAAGGGAACTCAAAGTAAAAATAGCCAAATTGGAAAAATCCTCTAAGTCAGCTATGCTTCCAGCTAATTTGACCTTGAATTTTCACAATAGTGAATAACCCTTTATGTTATGCAATTCAGTTTCAAATATCTAGAATTAACTGTTAGGCGAATAATTTTCCAATACACAAAAAAGGTTGCCTACATAACTAAAAGGTAAAATATAAAAGTTTATGTAACTTTATACCTCAGTCTAGACACACATTCCTTTCCATTTACTGCGAGAATTAATCATTACTGCCAAGTCTAAAAGTACAATACCGTACAGAAGCAGTGGCATCATTTGTTTTCCTCAATCCCTTATTTCCTCCAACCGCCCTGGGGAGACACTACACTTACTAAAATTAACAGCTGGAAATCCCAGTTCAGATAGAGCAAACTATTCATCCCATTTCCGCCTAGTTTCTTTTTTTTTTTTTTGAATGAGCCAAATCTAAGCATCAAAATCACTTTATCTTAAAGGTACACTCTAAGCACCCAATGAACAACAGCATAGTGTACTGTTCTTGGTGCAAAGAGACTGTTCCTACAATATCAGCAATGCAAAAACTGCCTTTTATGAGAAACGGCAGTGTTTACATTCTTTTCTATATCTTCAGTGACAGTCGCTAGAGGCCCCTCCTGGTGCAGTGATGCTATCTTTTTTCAAGACCAACATTCGTCACCCTTATACTTCCCACCGAGATATGCATACGTACTAGCCCCCAATGCTTCCCTATGAAGAAGCATTGGATTAACGAAAATCACCTGTAATGACGATCCCAGTCAGGGGAGTGAAATCTCCGGGAGACTAAAGGTAAATAAAACTATTTGTTTTTCTATTTCTAAGGGGACCCAAAAATCAAAATAGATACTAAAGCACTTTAACGTTAGGAATTCATGTATGTGTTTTAAACATTAGAGTGTTTCTCCTGCAGCCTTGCTAGTGGGGAAAAAAAAAGGCCTGTTTATGTTTACATTTTGCAATTTATACGTCTACTAGTGGCTGTCATTAAATTATTGAAGTTATAAGACTCTCTATGAGACACGCTGGTTTGGCCATCAAGGTCAGTTCCATATCTTATTTTCTGCCTGATGAAGAGAGGTTCTGTCTCATGCTTTCGGGAATAAAGGGAATAAGAAATTGTGTTATTCTTTACACCTTCATTTTTCAGGAATTCATTAGAGAACTGGAAATTCTAGGCCAAAAAAACTAAATGGGGTGGTTTGGCACTTTCCATAGAACTGAACGCTAGCTCACTGGCAGCCGTTCGCATTGGACCAAAACCACGAATAGACGGGGGGGGCGGAGTCTAACAGCAGAGGCAAGACTCAGGAGCTCAGAGCAAAAACTGAGAAAATACACTTTAAAACGGCAGATACTACCCCCAATAACCACTGACCGAAAGCAGGAACCCCTTAAGCCCTAATGGGACGCAAGCACAAGAAACAGACGCCGGACAAACCAGCCCCAGGAATCACAATAGATGAAATGTTGCAGCAGGCATCCGGCCCGAGCAGATCCAATATGGCGGCACTCCACGGAGGCTGCTCGGATATCTCAGACGACTGCTCAGGGGGAGCCGAAGATGAATGCCTCCTAGCCCCAGACCCAAAGCCGAGGGCAACACCCAGCAAATCAAGGAAGGACCCAGACGCCGACCTGGTAACCACCGGGGTGTTAAAAGACCCTGCAAGAGGAACCTACAAAAATGTAAAGGTCAGGGGGATCCCAGACGGGTTGCCAGAGCCTGACCTACCGCACACGATCAAGCCCCTGCTAACCACTATACTGCCCCCAGACCAAGCCAAAGCCATCACACCCACAGATCTCTTCCGGATTCCAAAACCCGCTGGGGCCCAGACATGGCCACAAGGGACACAATACTTACCTTTAAAAATGGGTCAGACAAGCCCCCATACAGTTTGAGAATGCAAAATTAACCTTCTACGCCGACCTGTCCAGTGGAATTCTGGCGTGGCGCAGGTCACTTCGGCTTCTCACCGCCACACTCCAGCATAACAACATACCGTATCGCTGGCGGTCCTCACACACGCTCCTGGTACAACATTGCGAAACAACAAACCAAATCAAAAGCATGCAAGATGCAGCGGTTCTTCTACGAACCCTGGGTCTGTCACAGGATTCACTCTCCCAAGCGGGACCCCGTGCTCCCACCACCCCGACCCACAGCTGGGATCCAGCAAAAAGTGCCCCATTCAGACCGCAGAGCACCACACCGGTCACCTACGCCTCGGTTACCACATAAATGGAGCCGAAGGGCGCACCCTCCAAGCTCAGCAACACCACAACCTGCCTACATCGAACTACCGAGAAATAGAGTACCACGCCGGAGCGCCACCAATACCCCGAAAGGCATCGGCTGATGATATCAATAATCAGGACCCTGAGGACTCATTTCTTTTCTCATCATCTTTTTATCTCTCATTATGTATGCCAGCCTTTGGAGCAGGACTCTTGCCTGGAGGACCCCAGGGGACCTTGTTGCTCTGATTGGCATGCTTAGGTTTGTTCACCTGCAGTATTACGCACATAGCCACTGTTTGTTTAATAATCAACCAGTCTACTTATCCAGCCTTTAATACTTATAAGGCACATAACTGTCATTTTTCATTGTTTTTTCCCTTTTTTTTTGCATATGGGAAAAACGTCAGCAGGAGCTTAGACAGATCCCAGATATTCTAGCACCTATACAACAGGAAAGCACAGCAGCTTTATACACACTTTAACCTGCGCTGTAATTGCCTTTTCACTGTCACACACAGCACTCAGAATGTTTAGGTACCACTAATATGATACTTGCCTGTGTTTCTAATGCCTCCTAGCCTAAAAACTCACAGCACAAAGTAATTGCATTGTAATCAGCTATTTCTACACTACAAAACGTGCTAACTCAGTATACTTATACTAGCATAGCTGATCTAGCAGTATTAAGCACCAAGCATCTTTATTTTATCTTAATCCCACTCTAACGAAATAACTGTTTAGTTAAACTCGAAAAATATAAAAATTGTGGGAAGTATCATGCCACTGTTTAATGCTGGTGAATGTTGAAATGCGCTGTTGTGGCATCTGTTGATAACCTGTAACCTCGTGCACATCAAAATATTTGTTGCAAAATACTGAATATTCTGCAGGCAATAACTGCTTACGTATTGGATACTCACCTTGGCTAATCACTCATATGCTGTCAGTCAGAGTACTTAAAGCTTAGCCTTTTGTCTCATTGTTGTTTAGTGACATATGTTTATCGTGTTCTCTTTTCATTATATAAATTGTGACTAGCAAGTTTCAACATAATAATTAAAAATGTGCAGTTTCCAAATATCTTAGCATAACTAGCCTAGCACTGTTAAGCGTTGACCTTTCCACTTTAATCTAATGACTTCACTGCTTTGCCAAGCTGATTGTTATAATTATATAAAACTGTGCGATTCCTCATGCCACTGTTCAACCTAAATATATTCTATTCTAAGACACGCTGTCGTGGCGTATGTCATTGCTATGTATAACATGCACAACAAAAATAAAGAATTTTTAAAAAAAAACTAAATGGAGTAAAAAACCTACCTTCTGAAAAATGCAAGTGTACTTTATCCAACTTTAAAACTACTACCTCAAAAAACTGTATGATTGCAGTAAGAAACTAAATGGTAAGCTATACATCCCATAAGAATGTCTTAAAGGACCACTATAGTGCCAGGAAAACACTTGTTTTCCTGGCACTATAGTGCCCTGAGGGTGCCCCCGTCCTATGGACGCTGGCGTCTTCTCACTGTGATTTTCACAGTGAGAAGCACGCAAACGCCTTTAGCGTATGTCAATGAGACAGCCACTAGAGGCTTAAGAGGCTGGATTAACCCATTTATAAACATAGCAGTTTCTCTGAAACTGCTATGTTTAGAAAAAAAAAAAAAAAGGGTTAATCCTAGAGGGACCTGGCATTAAGCTGAAGTGGTCTGGGTGCCTAGAGTGGGCCTTTAATTCCCATTCAAGCAGCCAGAGTGGACAATTGTGCTGTAGAGGTTGCAGCCAAGAGGAATAACTATTTTGGGTGCCCTGTGACATATGCTTATCTAATGTAGCAAGTTATTTAAACTATGTACAAGCAGAGTTATGGACTACACTGAGTATTATCATGAATAAAAAAATTTAATAGAAGAAAGGACTGGGCACAAATTGGAAGAATTGCTGATTCCCAATACACCTGCCTTGGATCTTTCACCCAGTTAATGCTCAGTTATTTTTTCTGTTAGATCTTCGAGGGAAGTGTACTCTGGGCTAAAGGAATTTGGGTGGCCCTCTAAATGAGCGCCTTCTAACTATTTCTGTTTATATTGAATATAAAATGTCAGACCAAATCGGGAGATTTAGAAGAATTCTCCAACCTAGCTATTTTTCAAATCGATTTTAGCATTATTGTTCTAATTACTTGGCCAATTATCATGTATTGAATAAATATATGTATATCATTCAAATGACTAACTACGTTTTCTGCGCACTTTGGCGATATTTGTCTAAATCTCAGATACTCAAAGCTCCTGCGTGTTGAGGCATCCAATAATGCTATACATGCGCAGGCACATACGATTATGCAACAGTGTGAGTTAAAAGAATAATAAAAGTACAACGTCTACCTTACTTTTAGCTAGGTATTCGGCTGTGCATAGATTTCAGTAGTGACAGTCTAAGAATCATAAGTACACCAACTCTCTTAAGTTGTTATAGTGCCAGGGGGTCACGTGCCATGTCTTACCTTAAGATGATGAACCATTTACAGTTTAACCCCAAAATTTAGGAAGTCAAACGTCCATCTACTATGCCCATCAAACTTCTGAAGTCCCACGGTCCGCATATTCAATCAGGAAGCCTCAGACTGGTCGCTGCTGATAGGCTGAGTGTATCAGATGATGTTCTCAGCCTATCGCCACCTTTCCATTCATAAAAAGGGAGTAAATACCTTCTAACACTGCCTCGCAAACTATCAATAGTCAGGGTTATTCACTAACAACATGAATTGCCAACTAGTTCAAAAAGAAGGTGAACAAATTACAACATAACTGGCTTTGGATAATACTTACTTTTCTGGCTAAAAATGTAAAAAAAAAAGTCACTTTGAATTCTCCACAATTCGCACTTTACTGGATAGCCCTGAAAAGTGGTTTAACCCCTTAAGGACCAAACTTCTGTAATAAAAGGAAATCATGTCATGTCACGTGTCATTAAGGGGTTAAACACTTATTTCAGACATGGCATAAGACCCCTTGGTGTCCCATGATGCATTGCTAGCCTTCAGATGGCCACACAGCACAGGAGACCCAGAGCAGCTGAATATTAAGCCGTATGGTCTCGCCTGATTTACTGAGGTGGGCCGGCTGTCTGCCAGGACACCCCACGCTGTATAAACACAATTCCTGTAACTGATATAAGACCTGTGTCAGCCCCCCATTGAGATACCCACCTCCAGTCTGCCCGGGCTGCGCTGTGCCTCCCCACTCAGGATACTGCGAGCTCAACTCTCTGGAGTTTCTCCCATTATTTTTTTCCACGGGCGGGTGACCTCATTTCCTGAACCCGTTGCCACGGAAACCGCCCCGAGGCTGCGCAGAGCTCCAAACACCCGAGCTGTAAAGCACATTACTGTCGCCGTGCCCTAGGTTTTACTACACGTATTTGGGCCTCAGAAGGCATTTTATTTTTTTAAGCCTGGGGGGTAACTGATCTCATTCAGCACATGTCGCTCAGAGCGGTCCGGGTACACCGCAATGGAGAGGGTTTAAGCAGGGGGCAGGTGTTCTCTCTAGTGTTTTCAACTCTGCGATCCGCCTGTAGCGTGACAAGGAGCGAACTGCATGACGGGACATGTAGTCTTCCAGTAACCAGTTCATAGGAATTATTATGACCTGCGAAACTTCAACTCCCGCCATGCAGTTCGAGAGAGCCCTTTTGTAGGAAATGACACCGAGAAATCCCATTTTAGAGACTCGCCTAGCATAGTTTAGCCGCTTAGCCACGTAATACTGAGATAAAACGATATCCACATTCACACACCGAACTTTATTATTCTACTTCAGAACAGTGCTAACAGTAACGTTATAATGGCTATCAGTCAGCTGGACGCGGTAGATGTAACTCAGTGCCAGGCTCCCTACCTATAGCCAGTTACATCGTGACCTGCAGTAAAATGGCCGCCGAGGCTTCCACGCGTTAGCGCCGTTGCCATGGAGCCTAGTGCGCCCGTCCGGAAGTGACGTAGGTAAACAATTCCCAGCTGTCGCCGTGGCAGCCGGAGTTCGCGATACACAGCAGGAGCTGAGCAGCTGTATGATCCGGTAACCGCCTTGTACCTGCCTTGCTCTGTACAGCTAGCTCGCTCTCTCCCCCCCTCCCTCTCTCTCTCTCTCTCCCCCTTCTATCTCTCCCCCCCTCTATCTCTCCACCACTCCTCCTGCCACCTTCTATCTCTCCCCTTCTATCTCCCCCCCTCTATCTCCCCGTCTCTCTCTCTATCTCTTCCCCCTCTCTCTCCTACCCCGTCTCTCTCCTCTCTCCCCCCTCTCTCCTCCCCCCCCTCTTTCTTCCCCCCCTCTCTCTTCCCCCCCTCTCTCTCTCCTCCTCTCCCCTCTCTCCTCTCCCCCCTCTCTCTTTCTCCCCCCTCTCTCTTTCTCCCCCCCCCTCTCTCTTTCTCCCCCCCTCCTCCCTCCCCCTCTTTCTATCCCCCCTCTCTCTCCCCTCTCTCTCTCCCCCCCTCTCTCTCTCCCCCCCTCTCTCTCTTCCCCCCTCTCTCTCCCCCCTCTCTCTCTCCCCCCTCTCTCCTCTCTTTCTCCCCCCCCTCTCTCTTTCTCCCCGTCTCTCTCTCTCTCTCTCTCTCTCTCTCTCTCTCTTTCCCTCCCTTCCCCTCTCTCTCATTCCCTCCCCCTCTCTCTCTCTTTCCCCCTCTCTTTATTTCTCCCTCTCTTTCATTCCCCCCTCTCTCTCTCACTCCCTCCCTCTCTCCATCCCCCTCCCTCTCTTTACTCCTCTCTTTATCTCTCTTTCTTCCCCCTCTGCCTCCCTCTCTCCCTCTCTCTCTTCCCCTCTCTCTCTCACTCTCTTTCCCCCTCTCTCCCTTCCTCCCTCTCCCTCCCTCTCTTCTCCTCTTTCTCACTGCCTCCCTCTCCCTCTCTTCTTCTTTCTCTCTTTCTTTTCTTTCTCTCTTTCCTCCCCCCTCTCGCTCCCTCCCTCCCTCTCTTTCTCTCTCTCTCTCTCTCTCCCTCTCTCTCTCCCTCCCTCCCTCTCTTTCTCCCCGTCTCTCTCTCTCTCTCCTCTCTTTCCCCCCTCTCTCTTTCCCCCCTCTCTCTCTTCCTCTCTCTTACCCCCTCTCCCTCTCTCTCTCCCCTCTCTCTCTCTCTCCCAGCTCTCCCTCCCTCCCTGGCTTTAGATAGCGGGTCTCAGGGTACTTTAGGGCGTCCCATAAATGTAAAGCAGGCTCAGATGTCACTAATCTGTATTTGCTTATCTGGTCTGGCCCTAGATCAGGCCAGCAGCTAATATCTGGGGCCCCACTGGATTGTTATGGGTCACAGTTGTTATGGTTTTTAACCATATGGTTGCCATACACACACACGTTGTGTAACAAAGAATTAAGTGGTTTCCCCACAGTATCTGTGATTCATGTGCTCTCACTGGGAAATCAGTTAAGGACCTGTCACTTATGTGTATTTCATAAAAAATATAATCTGTAAGAAATATTCGCGCTGACTGCGTTTTAAATTTATGAAATTTTCCAACGGAATCCAATGATACTGTAAGAGGAAGCAGGGACTATTTTATCTTGTGGTGAAATCTGAGGTTGAACAAAAAGTAGAGCTCTGCTCGCTGTCAACTTTTGTCCAATCACAGCAGCAGTCATAAGTGACAGCTGGGATTCAGGCATCATCCTGTTTATCATGAGATGTGTTCTATAGAGAGTCTCGCGCAATCTAATCTAATGAGTGTAAATTGTTTGGGGGCATACATACAAGAATAAGAGTCTCCGTGCATCTCAGCAGCTAAATATGCAGAGCTTATGGGAAGATGGTTGGTCATTACCCCACTGTGCCTCTTATAAATGATTAAATTAGATGAGTTCACTGCTTGTATTTAATATGTTTCAAGTATATTTACTACAATAAGAAATGTCATTTGGAAATAATACAACATACACGTTAGTGGTTTAATATGTGATTTTAATTTTTTTTTTTTTAAATTCACCAACCCCACAGTCATACAGTTTTCCAGCTGGGATTTCAATTTACAACAATGCGCTGTTTAAAGGACCATTCTAGACACAAAAACTGCTTCATACCTTTTCACACAGCTTTATGAATGGAGAGCTAGTGCTAGGATCACAGTGTCAACTAAAGCTCTCAGCCAATCAACGGCGCCCAGTCCGAGGCTTCCTGATTAAAGCCTCAGCTCATTGCCAGAAGGAGCTGGGCAGAGTGGATGGGTGCTGTGTACACATATTTCTATTCGTAAACGGTGTCTGGGATCACCTGGCACCGTAACAACTTAATTGAGAAGAAGCTGTTTTGGTATTTGTGGTGTCCCTTATTTACAATGCACTATTGTCTTCAGTGTAAACAGGATGCGGACATTAAATCTGTAGCCCCTCTATATATGCTGTGACCGTTTTGAGACAATTTTACCTATATGGTGATTTGTCAATGAACTTACTCTACATTTCATTGAACTGGTTTTTCCTCAAGTCTAGTATAAAGTCCCACATGGAGGTATACAGTAAGGCAATCAAATATCACATCTCAGTTTTTCCTGGCAATTGTTGTTTGTCAAGTTCTGCATTTTTTTTTCTTTTCATTGTGTATTTTACAGTTCTGAACTGGAAACTGGGATTAGTTTCTAACTCATAATTGTATGCAACATATACAGCAACTACTTACTTCTCTTCCATAGAAATGGCCAGAGACTCGCTTTCAGAAGCCGGGCTGCACTTTGATGAGCTGAACAAGCTAAGAGTCTTAGATCCTGAGGTTTCTCAGCAAACAACAGAACTAAAAGAAGAATGCAAAGACTTTGTAGACAGTAAGTCAGTGTTTGATTTACTCAGATGCAAAAAGATAAAACATACTTGGAAAAACAGCTCTATGTTATGCTTACAAGGCATAGGTAAGGGTGCAACTATCATTTCCTCTGGGGAATGTACTAGATACTTAGGATCATTACTACCTTGGTCTTTTGATTGATTACCTGCTACTTTGAGAAAACATGAACACTCTAGCAGAAAGTTTTTATCCTTAAGGACTAGGAGTGATGCTGATTTCTAAATATATAGCAATGAATTCATAACACACATCTCCATGTTTCAATACATAATCCCCAATGTTTTTTGTTCAGAATGTTTGTCTTTACATTGTTTGCACAAGGAATTGGTCTTAAATTATTTACAAGAATAATTTCCAGCATCATAGCTTCAATAAGCCCTTTTTATGTGTCAAAAGAAACATGTGGCTTTGTGAAACAATTGTCCTATCTTCTCATGCCCTCTTTACCTTGTTTATATACCTATGATGCAGCACTGCAGCTAATGCTGTAACTAGATCATTCATTTGGGTTTCCCTCCACCTCCAGCAGTCCTCTTACATGTTATTTGTTAATGCTAGCCTTTCTCCCTGCAAAAATGATACTGATGGTTTTGTGAATTTTTTTAACACACCATGTCTCCTCTTTTCACATCTTTCTGATTGGAACTACTCAGGGTACTTACTCACTGTCATCATATTATTTACCCCTTTACACTTAGCTTGGTTTTGAAATACTATACAGATAATAGTGGGATAGTTACGGTATTTGCTGTGAGATGGAGTCAAAAACTCACACATGCCTTAGTTTTCTTCAGAATGTCTTTGTAACAGAGCTCCTGTACTTTGATTGTGTACCTTCATTAGGTTAACTTCCTCGTTGTTACCAGGAGTCTCTGGAGTGCTTCAGATCCAGTCGCTGAAGCTGGACTTGGGGGTCTTTGGATATCTCTTTCCTGGATAGTGTTTATAGCTCTCTGCAGTGGACATAGCTCCCTGCAATGGTTATAGCTCTGGAGGCCATCTCTCCTGTAAAGTAGTGATTATAGCTTTCCCCCTATCCATTAGTTCAGACTAAATAATTCTTTAATACACACAACGCAGGTATAAAGTCCCTCCTTGGCGCCACTCTGTCTGGGGTCTTCTTTACAGTTTCCTCAGCTTACAAGATAGACTCCCTGCTGTGCCCTCCCTCACAAACCTTGAAGCAAGATGTACAAAATGTCCCCCAGAACCCTCTTTCCTTGATGGCACCTCTACAGCATATTACATAGTTACATAGCTGAAAAGAGACTTGCGTCCATCGAGTTCAGCCTTCCTCACATATGTTTTTGCTGTTGATCCAAAAGAAGGCAAAAAACCTAGTCTGAAGCGCTTCCAATTTTGGAACAAACTAGGAAAAAATTCCTTCTTGACCCCAAAATAGCAGTCAGATGTCTCCTTGGATCAAGCAGCTATTACCCCACTAATTAGAAATGATATCCCTCTGACAAAACCACCTCTTCAGGCAGAGAATTCCATATCCTTATTGCTCTTACTGTAAAAAAACCCTTTTTCTTTGCCTTAGATTAAATCTCCTTTCTTCCAGCCTAAATGTGTCACCTTTTGTCCTATGTTTAGCCCTGTTAATGAATAGATTTCCAGATAAAGGTTTGTACTGGCCCCGCATATATTTGTATAATGTTATCATATCCCCTCTCATGCACGGTTTTTCCAAACTAAACAGATTTACATTTTTTAACCTTTTTTCGTAACTAAAATGCTCCATTCCTTTTATCAATTTTGTAGCTCGTCTCTGCACTTTTTCTAGTGCCATGATATCTTTTTCTTTAGAATAGGTGCCCAAAATTGCACAGCATATTCAAGGTGTGGTCTTACCAGCGATTTTATAAAGAGGCAAAATTATATTTTCATTTTAAGAATTTTTTTATTTTTTTTATATTTATCTTTTTATTGTTTTGTACGTTTGACATAGGTAAACATAAGCTTTGGTACAGCGAGATTACATTGAGATTACAGTTTCGGTATTTCACTATTTTAAACAGTACTAAAATATCACATAATGGAAGGTACATTTTGTAGTAGAGTAATCTCCAAAAAATAGTGGTAGATAAGACATCTGAGAAAGGATAACATAACAAGCAAAATCATTTAAAGAATTTATGCCCCTATTTATACATGACAAAACCTTACTGGCCTTAGCAACTGCAGATGGACATTGAATATTGCTATTTAATTTGTTGTCTATAACAATTCCGAAATCCTTCTCATGTGTGGTTATCCCTAATTCACTACCATATGTTCCTGAATAGATGGTCTCTGGGCACCCTCACTGTCCAAATAGCTCTCTGACCAGAGAATCTGTGCCCCACTTGTTAAAGTTTTACTGGGTCACAGCCATTCTCCGATCCAGCGCAGAGTTCCAGGCTTGCAGCTAGTTAGTCCACCTTCCATAAAAGCGGATTCTGTGGAAAGGGAGTGTGTAGCGGAGGCCTGATATTCCACAGGTTAACTCCACTAAAGATCCCAGTGAGGCTCAGGAACAAGTGATGAAAAATCCCATCAAGTAATAATTCCAGCAAACAAGGTAATCCATGAATATCCCCATACAGATCTCAATGACTGGACGACACACAGCATCAGGAGCTGAACTAACTTTTATTCCACACAACCTCCTTTTAAAGCATTCTCCCATGCAAGGGAGGGATTCACATTAATCAGTGCAGTATCCAATGGTGTAACAGTTACCTCCCACACATCTCCTCCCTTAAGGGTGACACTTAATCCCATTACACAGGCTGTAGTTTTCCCCAAGTTTTGGATGTACCCAATACTATGGGTACCCCCTGGTAGCCCTGATCTTGGTGACTAACATATCCAAAATTCACCCAGATCGGACCAGGGGTTCGGGAGTTAGGTGGAGGGTGTAATTTGACCGACCGCACACGAGGTGGTATCCGAAAAGGGTTCCATGTGTTTTGGCCCTGCGGTCGGTCTCCATTCGGGAGGTGAAATACACACAAAAACTGCTATCCACGATTAATATCACATTCGTATACATCCCCTCGTTCGGTACGTTAAACTTACCGAACGGGGGCCTGATTAGTCTTCCCGTTCGGGAGTTACGGAGCTCTGGAAGTTTCAGCGGTATTCAGTAATTGAGTGTCCGATTTGAGTTCCAGACACTCGACGACCAAACACCGCTGAGCCTTTCGTGCGTAAGATGGCCACCCAGATACATACATAAAGTACCTATTAACCTGCGGTTATAGAGAAGTGCGAAGCTTAATGAGGGACACACTTCACTCTGGGGTGGTCTATTGGTTCTGTAGTTTCCATTCGTATGGAATACGGATGGAAACTACCGAACAATCACACAAATCTTACTTCCAATTTAACTAAACAGAAGAAATAACACACAAATTGCAGTATCATCATAGTCTTTAGGGACAGCCATAGTACCATCCGCTAGAGAGTGCTCCCAACTCCTTGGTATCCTCTGATGCCTCATTGCCTATTGGTCTGTGGACCGACCAATACCTATTCAAAGGTTCACTGGATCACGGCACAGCTCTGTTCCATTGAACAGTTCCACAGCATTTCAGGGTATGTCCCGGCCCCCAGTTCCGACTGGGAGGCAGAATAAGCATATAGGTGGTCTCTATACTCTCTTCCCATAGTGACAATGGCCCTTTTTTATTTTGTTCATGTTGGAATGGGTTTTCATGACAGTCTTTCTGCATACCTTCCAATCAGAATGACATTTGGAAATGGAGGCATGATTAATGGATTAGGTTAGTCTGCAGAAAACAGCAAAAGGTTTTTTTTGTTATTTAGGGATACTAGAGAGATTCAAGCAGGGAGAAAACCAAGCATGAATATGATGACAAAACCCTATCAAATGCACTTAAGTTGTGCTTTTAATGTCCTTTGAAGTAACATTTAACATCTTGTCACTTGACATCTGGTCTCATACTGTACATCGGAGGATGTGTAATCTACATGTGGGTTTTGGTGTTTCAAGGAGATAGAATGTTTGTGATCTTTTTATTTGCTTGAACTGCTGCTAGCAGTGTTTGTCAACCTAGTAAACAGACCTGTAAATATCTCAGGAGAATAAAATCAATATTTCCACATTAGCAGAGCTATAATAAGAATGGAATGCACATAGAACATAAATGTATATCATTATTGCTATATCTCCAATAATACACAGGGTACTCCAGGCAATGAACAATATTATACGCTTAATAGAGAAACAGACTGTGGGAATTTAATCACTATGTGGGGAGTAAATCACATTTCCTTTTATACAAAATATGAAAAGTGTAGCACATAGTTAAACCATTTATTTTCCATGTGACACCTTTCTGACACTAATGCTATAGTGTCATAGTCACCATTTAGGTGACCGCCTCCCCACTGCCAGGTGATTTTACTTACCTATTATAGTTTTTTTTTAGCTAAAGAGATAAAACTGGAGGGACATAGCACAAAGAACACTTCATTGACTTGAACTATAGAGTCCTTTTAAATTTTATTGTAATTTTACATGTGTTCATTTTAATGCACTAATAGCAATGTTATAGCATTGTACAGAATGCTACGCATGTGCAAACGTTTTTTTTTTTATACTACTACAAAACGTTTGAAAAAGCTCCCCAGTAAGTAACTTTTACCATAGAACCATATAGACCGATATCTATCTTAACCAGTGGTTAGACTTCATATTTGAGCTGAGATTCTTACACACGATTTCACTTTCTTTCAGAAATAGGTCAGTTTCAGAATATAGTGGGTGGATTAATCGATCTTGTCGACCAGCTGGCTAAAGAAACAGAGAATGAAAAAATGAAGGTAAGCATTACCAACACTTTTCATAAGGCTAGGACTATAGATATAAGAACTATTTAGTTGGCAGTGAGTTGCATGGCATTCTCTGGTAAATTGCAAGATATAGTCTAAAGTAGCCAAGTTTGAAAATAGTTTCCATTCGACCAAGATTTTTCTTTTCTTTTTTTTTTTCTCTTGCTCACCTGTTTGGTCAGTTACCACATTTAAAATTCTGATAGTTAAATGGACACTCCAGGCACCCAGACCACTTCTGCCCGTTGGAGTGGTCTGGGTGCCAACTCCCACTACCCTTAACCCTGCAACTGTAATATTGCAGTTTTCATAAACTGCAATATTTACATTGCAGGGTTAACTCCTCCTCTAGTGGGTGTCTACTAGATAGCCACTAGAGGGCACTTCCTGGTTTATAGCACAGATTTTGAGCTATAGCAATGCTGGACGTCCTCACGCTATGTGAGGACCTCCAGCGTCGCTGTAATCCCCATAGGAAAGCATTGAAAGCATAGGTCTCCCCCGCCGGATGATGTCGGCAGGGGAGGAGCGTAGGCTGACCCTGAACCAGCGCCGAGGGATATGTGTATATGTATGTATGTATGTATGTATGTGTGTGTATGTATATGTGTGTATATATATATTTATATATATATATATATATATATATATATATTGTGTGTGTGTGTGTATATTCTAAAATATAAATAATAAGTAAATAAAATGTAAAAATAATTTAAAACATTTTTTTACATATATAAACAAACTCGTTTTCCTGGCACTATAGTGCCCTGAGGGTGCCCCCACCCTCAGGGTCCCCCTCCTGCCGGCCTCTAGGGGAAGGAAGGGGGTTAAACACTCACCTTTCTCCAGCGCTGGGCTCCCTCGGCGTTGGGGACTCTCCTGCCGACGTCATTGGCTGAATGCGCATGCGCGGCAAGAGCGTGCATTCAGCCAGTCCATAGGAAAGCATTCTCAATGCTTTCCTATGGATGCTGACGTCTTCTCACTGTGAAAATCACAGTGAGAAGCGTGGAAGCGCCTCTAGCTGCTGTCAGTGAGACCGCCACTAGAGGCTGGATTAACCCTAAAGTAAACATAGCAGTTTCTCTGAAACTGCTATGTTTATAGTAGGCAGGGTTAATCCTAGTTGGACCTGGCACCCAGACCACTTCATTGAGCTGAAGTGGTCTGGGTGCCTATAGTGGTCCTTTAATGCTTCAGCAGTTTGATATATTTATTAGGTTGATTAAGTTTAACCTTCTATTTTAATAGCCAGTGTTTTAAATGTTATTTACTTAATGCTTCGCTTTATATATTTTTATGTGATGGCAAATATTAGGCCAAAATAGCCAAATTAAAGATTTTTTTTTCCTCCAGTTTTTCGTAGTTTGGCTATTTTGATCAATAATTTACTGGTCCCCTTATCAATTCCTGACATGTATAAAATAGATTTTCTAGATATATATGATAATTTGTATATTTTTTTTTTCTTTTTTTATTAGGCCATTGGTGCCCGCAATTTACTGAGATCGATAGCAAAACAGAGGGAAGCCCAGCAACAGCAGCTCTATGCTTTAATAGCAGAAAAGAAGATGCAACTGGAAAGGTATGTTAATAAATTTACTAAATATACACTATAGTCACTAGAACCACTCTAACGTACTGTCCCTGCAGGCCTTTTAATGTAAACACTTAATTTTCAGAGATAATCAGTGTGAGACATCAGCTGCCAAGTAGTGGTTAGCTTCCATAGAAAATAATGGCATCTGTCTTTCAGGAGCAGCAGCTAGTAACTCCCTGTCGGTATGTGAAAGTTTGCAATTGGGAAACAGATGCTTCTTGCTAACAGTAGCAACAGGCACCGCATCAACATAGACAAACCCTCTGTTTAAATGCTGCGCATATTTATTAATTGTTTTATGTTCCATTTCCCTCAGATATCGAATAGAATATGACGCTCTGTGTAAAGTGGAAGCCGAGCAAAATGAATTCATTGACAAATTCATTCTTCAGAAATAACGTTGGCATCGACAATTCCATAGCTGACTGATTTTATATGGTGTTTGTTTCTTTCTTTTTAAACATTTCATTCCATTTTCAACTGGCTCTTACAGCAGACATTTATATTGTCCACTAAAGCCACATTTTGTGCGGTTTAACCCCTTAAGGACCAAACTTCTGGAATAAAAGGGAATCATGACATGTCACACATGTCATGTGTCCTTAAGGGGTTAAACAGAGCTAGTTTAGATTGTGACATATTTTTCAGCTTGATTGTACAAATCCCCTTGGGCTGGAACCAAATCTAATTGTGTACAGTCATTTTTACAATGCCAGCCTTAATAACCCACCTACGTAAGTGCAGGTGGCCTTGCTGATTCTTTTTCTTTTTTTCATGTAAATGTAAATCGTTTTCACTTAAATAATATTTTTTTGCTTTCTTCCTTTTTTTCTTCAAATTTTCTGTTAAATTTTTAACAGATACAAAAAAAAGAATTGATTTAATTTATAAAACATTTGGATATATCTTGTGTGCATGTGTGTATATATAGATAGATTTATCTATCTATCTATCTGGAAGATATATATATATTATTATTTTATAATATGTGTATATAAAATCTAGCTATATTGCAAGAAAAGCACACTGAAAAGGTCTTTGTAAATAATATTTCTGCTTTCATTTTCAATGATATACTCCCATAAGTCGTGTCGACGTTTCAGTCTTATTCCAGACTTTTTTCAAGACAAAAGTAACATTTAAATAGGGATAGTGATTGTAAATAGAAGTGATTGTGATGAAAAACTAAACTGCATGACATGCTAAATGACTTAAATACAAGTCCATCCCACATTCACACAAAAAGCAAACCTAAATACCTACTTAATTATCACTTTTATTTATTTTCACTATCCCTATTTAAATTTTACTTTTTCTTTTTAATTTGAAAGATCCCAGGCAAAGGGTTTATTCACCAAGGAACTGATCTGATCAGAAGTATTTCCCAATAATATTTATTGAAGCTCATTATTTAATGCACTAAAGTTAGTTATCAATGAAAAACATAAGTTGAAGTGTGAAGGAAAGCATACTGCAAGGCAGTGTTTACATATCATTATTATAAGTTAACCTTGTTTTTAGTAGACTGGTACTACTTTTAATCTTAATAGTGCAGCAATACAGTGAATTCTGAGAGGCCAACTACAACCTCCTCCAGAGAATGTAGGAATAGATCACCTCTACTTTAAACAATGTTCAGCAATTTTATTGTACAATTTTAGAAGTGGTTAAAATAAATTATTTATTTCATACATTTGTCCAATAATTTACAATTGCTTTTGGTAACCAGTATTAATAATTTCTGGGTGTTTTTCACCCACCCACTAATAAATACACATATGGACGCTTTGTATGACTGACCTTATTACATTTGTGCATTTTCTAGTGATAAATTAGTAGAAGCTGTTTATGCAAATCTGATTGTACAAGTATGCCAAAAAGGGGTTTATTTGTTTAAGTTCTGACTGATGAGTTACTAGAACGAAAAGAAAACAGGACTTGCGATCCCTGATTCAAAACAAATTCTTATCTAATTAGTAAAATCAAAGAATGCATTAACTCTCCTTGCTGAAAGTAAATGTTAAAATCTGCTGCCTTATGGTACCTACATATGGAGGAGCTGTACAGCCTCACATTTCAGGGCGGTATGATGCTCTGAAATGTACTGTTATGCACCATCTATATATCCTAAGGTAGATTATAAAGAAATCGTCTCCCAAAGTCACTATAAAAGATCATGTTTTTTTAACTCTCCCAGAAGGCCAAGCTGACTATTCAAATGACTCACCCGTTCAAGATTCCAATTTACATTTCTATGTAATCCTTTCAACAGGGCACATATATTTAAAACACAGCTTTTTAGATTACTGTTATGATCCTGTATTCATGACATCCTGCCCTCAAAATATGGAGATCAAAATAGGCAACACATGTGATGCTCTTTCACACGAGTCTAGGTATAGCTAGAACATGCATGTTAACCTCTCTCTGTACTACATTCCTCTTTAAACTCTAAGGTACCATCACAGACCACATTTACACAGACATTATATCTGTGCACCTCTCCTCCTTGTATTTCTTTACCTTCATTTCTTGTAGATTCTGAGTTTTTTTGCTATGAGTAATCTTCACTTCTTGTATCGGTCAACATTTATTTTGTCTTTCAATAATTTGCTTTTATGGATCCCAACTGCATTATTGTAAAGCACTGCATAAATGATTGGCCATTGTGTAAAAGGAGCCAGTCGATACAGGTTTGTTTCCTAAACTAGTAAATTCAAATTAGACTATTTTTGGCCATTGTTGCTACATTGCCATAATTATGTTTTCTTGCTTGGGAGAAACAGGTATACCAATAATGGTACAGTTATACTTATAAAAGCTAGTGCATAAATACAGGAAACATCATGACACAAGTCTCTCTCTCTATCTGCATCTCCTGCTATTTATTCAGTTCCTTCGCTGATGATGATAAACCTGCAGAAGAACAGGGGATACTTAACTGTGCTGTTTCTGTCCCCTGAACATTTCTTATGCCATGTCATTATTGGGATTAGTTTAAGTTAAAATGGCAGCAGTGTAACTGTCACCTGTACGTCCTAGTGCTGCTCAGCATGGTGACAGTAGACCAGAAAAGACAGAGATTGAGGTACAGACAATGTCTGTGTGTGTGTGTGTGTGTGTGTGTGTGTGTATATATATATATATATATATATATATATATATATATGTGTGTGTGTATATATATATATATATATATATATATATAATGTAGTATACACTAATAATCAGATTGTTCTGATGTCTTAGATGGTCATTGAACCTTTAGGTGTTAAATATATTTTCAAGGTTATTCACCTGTGGGAATTTCAATTGAATTTCAAATTGTAGGCCAAACTGTGACAACTTCCTATTCTTCCAATTTGGCTACTTTGTACTTCATTCTCACTTCAGTGAATAATCCTGCATGCTTTTCATGGTTTACTCTATAATTTTGTTATTGATGAGTTAAGTATTTAACGTTTTATTTTGTTGTTGGTTTTCTTTACCAGACACCATGCACAGACGTAATGTCCCAGTGCATGGTTAGACATTATACTGTTAGGAAGCTTGCTGTGAGGTCATAACACCAGAATTAAGTTTAATCCATTTTTTGTTTGGCCATATTATAAAATTGTTGTATGCATGTAATAGTACAATTTTATATATAAAAACGTTCATTAAAAAGTATAAAATGTCTTGTTTTTATTTTTACCAGACCTAGGAGTTCATATTTGCTATGGGATATATTTCTGGATGATTTTTAAAGTGACACTTGAGGCACGACATGTTGGGTGCAATGTGTTGTACTCCTGTAGAGTTCTCAAGCTCCTGATCCACAGGACATGTTTGCCCTCCCCCTAATCACTTTCATGTGGCCTGTGCCCACCCTTCCCAGTTTGACCAGGAAAGTCTCAGAATACAGAGATATATAGGAGTCCTGGGTGCCTTTCTATATGCTGGATTGCAGACTCCAGAAATAAAGATCGCTAAATCTCACCTTATTAACCAGCGCAAGTTTTCCCTGAGCCCAATTGTCCTCTTTGGATGTTATTCATCCTCATAGATGTCAGAATAGGCAAGGTGAAACGAGGAGTTAGAAAGGAGTGTACATTATGTGGGAGTGTGTAGCTGTGCATGTGTGGACATTATGGCAAGTGGCTACAACAAAATGTATGAGTGTGTAGCTGTATTTGTGTGTCTTGGAGTATGTATCTAAGGCCAAGAGTAGATGATGTTTTGTGTGGCCCCCAGGGAAATTAACTTTGAGACTCCTTGGATACAGTTAAAGGAGCACTCCAGGTACCATAACAACTTCATCTAAATGAAGTTATGATGCCAGGAGGCCCCCAGGTGCACTCTTACCTCAAGGGGTTAAACCGATCTTAACACCCAAGTGAGCCTCCAGCGCCAATCTCAACTCCCCTCAGACAGCATCCGGCTTATGAAATCTTACTGTCACAGAATGATGCAGGGAGTGGCACCGCTGGTTGGCTGAGAGCAGTCAGCTGAAGCTCTCAGCCAATCCGTGACTCCCCATTTATAAAACTGGCTTGAAAATGGTACATATTGTTCCAAGCCAGTTTTATGAATGTCACTCCCTGCATCATTCTGTGACAGTAAGATTTCATAACCAAGATATGTTTTTTTTTTATTTCATAATACTCAATGGGACACTCTATTGCATAAATAAAAAATACAATCACTATTTAGTACATATACCCAATGAAAACATTTTTTTCATGGAAAATTAAAAAGTTTTTATATTTTTCTTCCACTGCTGTGCATGATATCATGACTCACTACAGTTGCTATCACAAAGGGAAGAGCATGGCCAGAAGATGGGCGTGTCCATAACACAATTTGCAACACTGGTGGTGTACCCCATGAAAGGGGCATGTCATCACAGTGCATAATGTTAAAAGGTTAGTACTGGTTACTGGTGAAATTCTTGTGGATGGCATACAAATATCCTGTAATTCATTCCAAGTGCAACACAAATGCATGCTGTAACGATCATTGAGTAGGAAATATGTAAACATACACAATAGTCATCACAGATCCACCTTAATCGTGCTTTGCGACCTGATTGGTAACTGAAGGGCAGTTCCTGTTCTCAGAGTTCTCGAACATCCTAGTTTGGCTTATATGGGGAATTTTTCCAGGTCATGTAGTATGGCCTGGTCATTTTTTTTCCACAGTTCCCAGGTTAGTTAAATAGCGAGAATGCATAGTCAATGCTCCTTTTGTGGTGCAATATTATGTTTATGAGTTGGTTGCATGGGTTTAAAGTGGTGCTCGTAATATTCCTCATTTAAAGAGGCACTGTTACTTCAAACCTACCTTTCTCATTTTTTCCTCTTCTCTTCCCCTTTCAGAATCTGGGACTTCCGTTCTTAGCTTGCTTTAACTCAACCCTTTGTAAAGATTGTCAAACATGGGAAAAATAACTAAGACAAAGTATTCCTTGCTTTGTCTTATGTTTTCAATGGACACTATAGGCACCCAGACCAATTCAATATTAAAGTGGGGTGTGTGCAGTGTCCCTGTCCCCCTTACTCCTGCAATGTAAATCATTTCAGATTCAGGAGGCGCAGTTTACAGCCATTCGAGGTGCTTCCAGGATTTTATCAGACTTTAGGTTGCCTAACTGACACCGGATGTCCTCACGCTCTGCATAAGGACATCCAGCGTCAGTTAAGTCCCCATAGGAAGAAAGGTACATTTGAGGTGACACAGCCACTTTAACTATAACTTCAAATGTTTCTTTTTAATCTAAAATGTATCAATCTGCTATTCTTTTGAAAAATACAAAAATTCCAACACTTTAGTATAGGAGAATATTTTTTTTCTATTTAATATGTATACATTTTATACCAATTCTGTGGAAACATATAATTACGAGTTTTACTAAGATTTTATTTCTTAATTAAGATGTTCATTCCTGTTATAGTGTGTATTTGTGAGATATATGTGCATTATGCTAGCATAACTAATTAAGCTCCTTTTAGTTTGTATTTCCTGTCAGAAAACTTAACACTATATCGATATATCAGGATCCTTCCTTTTAAGTAGAAGAAAATGTGTGAATATCAAGAATTTACAATATAAAACTTTATTTCAATGATTAAAAATAAACTTGGGCTTTGAAAGTTTTAAAACATTTCCATTAAACAAATTGGTACAGTAAAATAAGTTAGTAAAGCAACTATTACAAACACACCAGCAGACATCAAAGGAAAAAAAGAGTCGATTCACAATGTAATTATAAAACCAATTCTGCCCAGAATAAGCACCCAGAAAGGAAGGGGTAGTACCCATCTGTATGTTGAACACGGTCATTAATTTTTCATATTCTTAAAAAGAAAAAGGTTACGGTCCATTTAAAATATGGGAAGATTAAAATTGTCATTAATGTATTATGACTGAAACCAAAGGTATTGTAGTTTTGGCAATTACAGGGATTATGTTAAGGACAATGAGGTGAAGTGCCCCCTCTGGTCTCTAACTCAAACTGGCATCCACAATTCAAAACAGAACATATAGGAAAGTCCTTTATGCCCGCATTGTTGTCCACAGCTGTAAATGATGAACGGAATGTGTTGTGTGTTCTGTAGTAACCACAGACCAGTCGCTTTCACATAAACCTTCTACCTTCTTTTCCGCTTTTCTTCCTGTTTATAACGTGGACTAAATAACATCGTGAGCAAAATGAGCAAGGGAATGACTAAGTATGGTGCATAAATTGAGACCAAAGTCAGCCGCTCTTTCTGGTTTGGAGGATCCACACCATTGTATTTTTGAAATTCTCCGAAGAGAACATGTGCAATAATAGCAATGACTGTGGTGGCAACATGAGCCGAATAGACAATGGCTGGAATTCTTATCCATTTACAGCCACCTGGAAAGCAAGAATACAAAACATTATTCATTTTATCCTTGATACGCATCAGAATCTAAAAAACAAAATAACAAAAAAACGCGAAATAACTGCAGTTTAAAGGGTTACTCCAAGCATCATGTGCACTTTGTTGATTTGAAGTAGTCATGGTGCCAGAATTTTGTAGAAGCAGCTTTTCATACTGAAACACTGCACTTAAGGAGTTTAACCCCTTTTTGTAACTCCATCACCATTATAGGGTTGTCATTAGCCAGATAATTTAAATTCTGTACACATTTTTATGTACAGTGTGCCATTTATTGGAGAGAGGTCAGCTGATGTTCTCAGCCAATGAATAGCAACTGGATCAGGATCTGACTTTTACAGCTCTGCAGCACCCGGAAGCATATCATCCGAAATGCAAGTTGTCTCTTAGCCAGATGGGGACCTAGGCTGCCCATTACTAGAGGACCAGGGTACTCCTGGTATGTTAACCACTACAGCAGACTGCTTGGAGTAACCCTTTAAAATTTACTAACTGATTTTTGTCTGTCTAGCAGAGTACTGAGTTTTATTGGCAGTAACGTGCAAATGAAGATATAGTAATTAGAGCAGACTAGTCCACATTACAAGTTTAAATCTCAATTTGGGGGTAGGGGCATCTTAGCTTTATTTGCATATTTTATCCTACCAATTCATGTGTAACACTCATTACATACTAACATAAGCTATTGGCGCTAAAAAAAAAAAAAAACATATCAAAACATCGTATAAATATGTGGATAGTTAAAGGGACACTCCAGACCCCTAAAACACATTAACTTACTGAAATGCTGTGTGTGTAAAAAATAAAATAAAAGTCTTCATTTTACAAAAGGTCCAGATTTCAAACAGAAAATAGTGTTTTCAGTGGGGGTATATGTAATGAACAGTGATTTATTGTTTGTTTGTTTTTTTACATTTGGGCAGTGGTGTCCCTTTAAAAACTTACCTTTGTAAAAAGCATATGCTGCTACAGGGAAGAAAGGAAGTTGTACGAGACCTTCACAGTACACAAAGCTCAAAAACCAAGCAGGTGGGTTCATCATCATATGGTCTTTAAAACTGACAACGTACCATTTCATCAAATCCAATAACTAAGGGAGAAATCAAAGGAAAAAAGTATTAATGACAATGTAAAATGTAGATGTGACTTTCCTCGCCTTTTAACTGTTACTCTAAAACATCTCACAAGTCTACTACAACATTTAATTAGCATTAGGATAAAATTAAGCTACATTAGATCTGGTTGGTCTGCAGAGGAAGGATTTCTATTATGCATTGGAATCAATGGTTCTACTTCCAAAAAGGATTTTCCACTACATGTTGGAATATTGCTCTAAAGATTTGCTTTGATTCAATTAGTTATGTTGGGCAAAGATTTCAGGCTCACAACTAGCATTCCAGTTTAAAGTTGTCCAATGGGGTTGGGATTGGAGTCTGGGCCAAAGAAGCCCTTGAATAGATTTTGCCAAACCACTTTTGCATTGCACTGACTGACATGCTGAAACAGGAAATGGCTTTTCTCAAAGTGATACCACGAAGTCTGAAGAGCAAAAAAGTCTGGAATACCACTGAAGATGTCTCTTCACTACTAAACTAAGGTTCACAGCCTGAACCAGAGACCTTTGTTCTTCCACATCTTACAGATGGTACTATGCAGGAGGATGGTCTCATCAGAACATATTGCATTACCAATGGTCTACAAACTATAAGAGGAGTGCAAGACATTGATCATAGAATTGCAATGCTGTTTCCAGAGGTAGTTTGAAACTTGGTATTCAGTGTGGTCAGATGAGCCACATTTATTTTTGCACCTATTTGCTTTTGGTACTTTGCATTATTTTGTAAGCTTGTGTGTTTTTTGCTCCTAGACTAGTTAGCCTTGAGGATTGCGTTGGGACTACCGCTATACAATGTACGGTCATACATAGGATGTAAAGTTTCAGATATGATTTACTGGCAATACATGCTTGGGTGTTGTAATAATATATCAACTTTGACTGCCTTTAATTTTGAAAAACTGTCTAAAAATTACACACTGTTTTACTGGCCAAGTCTCTCTTTGGAATGTTGCAAATTATGTTAAAAGGTGACGGGCCCATGATAAAGATTACAGGCTACTCTGCGCTGTGATTCAGCAAGTCCCTATCTAAGCATGAACTTTGAATTAAAGATTATTATCTACACCTAATCACACAAATAACCTTACTGAGCGTGCATTGTGGCTCACAGTAATTGTACAATATGAAAAATCTCTACAATGGTGCCGTTACAGGCACTTTTAGGATATCCTTTTTATATTTTTTTTACAGCTGAAAATGTTCTCTAGAAAAGCTCTTTTTCTAAAAACATAAACCGATTGCATAAATATAAGGCTTAAATTGGGAAAGTAGTCGGTTTCCCAAATTCATCTATTTGACCTATATTTTTGTTTAGCGAACAAACCCCAGAGCGTTTTGAACAGGAAAGCAGACTCCCTGGATATGTGAAACAAGGAAAACCGGAAAAGCCAGTCATATTTTTTGAGGGCAAAGGCTTTGTACATAAGTCAACAGTAGACTATTTGAAGAGAGATAACTGACAGAGGGAGCAATAACCCAGGTCAAACATTGACCTGTGTTCTGTGCGCCAGCTATCAGACTGCAATATCCACCCCACCCACAACCCTCCAAATATTGGTTAAAGACCATTATATCTAATTCAGCTCACATCTCAGCCTTAGACATTTTGTGTATCGCCAAATGATGACTAGGTATTAATGGTCATGCTAGAAAGGCATAACTGCATCCTAATAGCTTAGTTTAGTAAAACCATGAATATTCTGCTCAGGTAGTTTCATTCATGTTTTTCAACCGGAGTGTCCAATCAAAATGACAATAGGGAGACCAGGATTAGGTGAGAGATGTCAGTCACTTCCTGATTTTTGCAGACATCATAGTATTTGCATATACTTTGATGCATTATTCCCATAACGCATCAATGGGACACCGTACTACTCGACTCCATTCTTGCATTATTATTATTGGCATTTATATAGCGCCAACTAATTCTACAGTGCTTTACAATATTATGAAGGGGTGGGGGGGGATTTACAATAAAAACAATTATACAGTGACACAGAAATAAAAGGTAGATGAGGATCCTACTCAAAACGAGCTTACAGTGAGGTGGGGTACAAATACACAACAGGGCAGTAAGGGTGACAGCCACCAAACAAGGTGGAAAAGTAGCAGAACTGGAAGTGAGAGTGGTGTGTGGCTCTTTAGAAGAGCAAGATACAGATATGGAGAAGTATAGATAAGTTACTCTGGGAGTCCATAAACATTTATGAACAGATGTGTTTTAAAGGGACCTCTTAAACAATTGAAGACTAGGGGAGAGTCTGATGGGGGTAGGCAGGCCGTTCCAAAGGAATGCAGCCACCTGCGAGAAGTCCTGCAAGCATGAGTTGGCAGTAAGGGTGTGAGCAGCGGACAGAAGAAGGTCACTGGCAGAGCGGAGAGACCGAGAAGGGGCATACCTATGAATCAGGGAAGAAATGTAAGAGGGGTTAGAGCTTTATAGGTAAGGGGTAGTCAGTGTAAGGATCGACACAGGAGCGAGGTATGGGAGGAACGAAGGGGGAGAAAGATCAGCCTGGCAGCAGCATTCATTACCGATTGTAGCGGGGAAGTTTGGCTTTTGGGGAGACCAACTAGGAAAGGATTACAGTAATCAGTAATACCAGAGCATGAACAAGCTCCTTGGCAATAAAATATGACTGTGGCTTTTATTTTTATTTTAAAAGCATAGTACAATAACATTCCAATGTCTTAAATTACGTGACAACTATTGTCATGAAAGAAGAAATTTGTTGGGAAAAATGTTTCAAATTGATGGAAAAGGAATAAAATAGATTAGGCCAACAAATACTCAAATTTCGTTATTTCAAGTATAAAAACTCTTGAAACCAGTGTCATGAAAACAGTAATTGGAAATATGCACCGAACATTCCATCTATGCTGTGCGGGACAAGGTACCACCTCCACCAAATGGGGTGACACAGGTTTATGACAACTGTAAACCAGTAGGTATTTAAGGGAAAACCCATCAGATAAATAATGGAAGATTTGTTTGGAAATAGAGAAAGTGTAAAATTCTAAAAGATGCTAACAGGAGCCAATTCTGACCCTCTCAACCAAACATCCCTAAAATTTAGATCCCACTATCGTGAACACAACTAACCCTAACCTAGGATGCCCAACGTGAGGAACCCCACTGTCATAAACCGCACTAGCCCTAATCTAAGATTCAACAAGCAACATCTGGCATGCCAGATATTTTGGACTACATCTCCCCTGATGCTTTGCAAACATTATGGCTGTAAAAGCATAATGGGAGATAGAGTCCCCAACATCTGGAGTGCCGAAAGGTTGCCTACCCATGCCTTAGGTTCTCACTGCCTCATCTCATTCATAGTGGCTACCCACAATTAATCATTTTAAAGACAAGACTGGGCAGCCACTATGATTCAAATACATTAAAATATGATGTCATCTATTCATTTTTGTGTGTGATATGATTAGTGTACTGTACCGAGATGGACAAACATTGCTTTCCTACCCATACTTTTTTGTGGATGCTACACCTTCTCATATACATTGCGCCCCCCGCTTCAAATTTTCAGAATTGCTCTCAATATAGACTTCCCTAACCCTCTTCCTCTTGCAGTAATGTGGTGTAATTTCGGAAGAAATAATAAACAAGTCTGCAGCATATGTGCAGATTATAATGTGATAAGGTTTTATTGTCACATAAAGATAATTATAAATATAAATGATTTCATAATGTTATACATTGTAAGGTAACACATGGTGTGTTAGACAGAGCTATATACATAATGTAGTGGGATGTTTGTTTATTTATAATATCCCCTCTCATACTGTAGTAGTGGGATGTTTGTATATATTCTCATACTGTAGTAGTGGGAAGTTTGTATGTACTCTCCCCTCTCATACTGTAGTAGTGGGAAGTTTATATGTACTCTCAACTCTCATACTGTAGTAGTGGGAAGTTTGCATGTACTCTCAACTCTCATACTGTAGTAGTGGGATGTTTGCATGTACTCTCCCCTCTCATACTGTAGTAGTGGGATGTTTGCATGTACTCTCCCCTCTCATACTGTAGTAGTGGGATGTTTGCATGTACTCTCCCCTCTCATACTGTAGTAGTGGGATGTTTGTATGTACTCTCCCCTCTCATACTGTAGTAGTGGGATGTTTGCATGTACTCTCCCCTCTCATACTGTAGTAGTGGGATGTTGGTATGTATTCTCCCCTCTCATACTGTAGTAGTGGGATGTTGGTATGTACTCTCCCCTCTCATACTGTAGTAGTGGGATGTTGGTATATACTCTCCCTCTCACACTGTAGTAGTGGAATGTTGGTATGTACTCTCCCCTCTCACACTGTAGTAGTGGAATGTTGGTATGTACTCTCCCCTCTCACACTGTAGTAGTGGAATGTTGGTATGTACTCTCCCTCTCATACTGTAGTAGTGGAATGTTGGTATGTACTCTCCCTCTCATACTGTAGTAGTGGAATGTTGGTATATACTCTCCCTCTCATACTGTAGTAGTGGAATGTTGGTATATACTCTCCCTCTCATACTGTAGTAGTGGAATGTTGGTATATACTCTCCCTCTCATACTGTAGTAGTGGAATGTTGGTATATACTCTCCCTCTCATACTGTAGTAGTGGAATGTTGGTATGTACTCTCCCCTCTCACACTGTAGTAGTGGAATGTTGGTATGTACTCTCCCTCTCATACTGTAGTAGTGGAATGTTGGTATGTACTCTCCCTCTCATACTGTAGTAGTGGAATGTTGGTATATACTCTCCCTCTCATACTGTAGTAGTGGAATGTTGGTATATACTCTCCCTCTCATACTGTAGTAGTGGAATGTTGGTATATACTCTCCCTCTCATACTGTAGTAGTGGAATGTTGGTATATACTCTCCCTCTCATACTGTAGTAGTGGAATGTTGGTATGTAAAGTCTTTGCGGTAAGTTTCCCTGGCAGTGAGAGGTACTTACCTCCTGTGGGTACCAGCTGGAAGGCAGGATTGGCTGCAGATCCACCAGCAGTGTTATTGGGATGTGGGAGAAGAAGTAGAAGAAGAAGATCCATTCCAGCAGGCGGACGAGGGAAGCCATGTCTGCGAGAAGCTCACACACAAGAGTGAGAACAAACTCAAGGACTGGGCACTATAGGTAACGGTCACACCCACAGCTAGGGCGGCCTGGTGTCACGTGACAGGCAAGGAGTCCTCGGCAGCCATCTTTGAAGTGGGCAAGCAGTGTCCTCTGTGTGTGTGTTACAATCATTATACAGGAGGTAAACAATGTAGTGTTCTTGTATATATATATATATATATATTTATTGTGGGGGTTTTTTTTTTAGCAGGGTACATTGTTGCCAAACAGAATGCAAACGCAGTCTATCCAGGGGAGGATTTTTATTTTTTTTAAATAGATCATTATTGGTCAATGGTCATTCCTAAAGTGCTTCAGTGTTTCTTATCTTCACTGTAAAAAAAACAAATAAATAAATAATGCTATTTTTGTAGAAATACCCACAATGAATAAATACATGCATGCATTTATTTATGCATGTAATCATTAAGGGTATATCTAAAGAGAGCTTGCAAAAGCTGCAGTTCTTCTGAATGCAGGCTTTGCACCTCTCCCCTCTCTCCCAGAAGAGAGAGACAGACACACACTCTGTGTGTACAGCCACATGGTGATAGCTCTCTCTCTCTCTCTCTCTTCAACCCCTTGCACATACTACACTCCATATCCCCTCCCAAACACATACATCAGGCACACATGGTATTTGTTGTGGTAATTTTTCTTCTTTTAACCCCTTCAGGACGTAGTCAATAGTGCACATTCTGATCAAAACAAAACGTAAACAAAAACTGGAATTTGCGCTATATGTCTGTTCAACCGTAATTCACCGCTGTCACATTAAGTGCACCCACACTTATTATATATTATTTTGTTCAGGAGAAACAGGGCTTTAATTTATCATTAACTATTCATATATGGAACATAATTTATTATGAATAAAATGTTAAAAAATTTGAGAAAATACGATTTTTTTAAAATTTGTATTTCCGTCTGACATTTTAGCTGTGAATGTCATAATACTGTTAGGTTTTACTGCAAAAAAAATGCACATATTTGTAATCAGCGATGTCTCACGAGTAAAACAGTACCCCCCATTAACAGGTTTTATGGTGTTTTGGAAAGTTACAGGGTCAAATATAGAACGTTCAATTTTCAAATTGAAATTTGCCAGATTAGTAATGTTACCTTTGAGACGGTTTGGTAGCCCAGGAATGAAAATTACCCCCATAATGGCATACCATTTGAAAAAGTAGACAACCCAAGGTATTGAAAGTGGGGTATGTTTAGTCTTTTTTAGTAGCCACTTAGTCACAAACACTGGCCAAAGAGATAAATTTACTCATACTTACCGTAATTTTCTTTTCCTGGTCATAGGCCATGGCAGCACAACAATGGGTAGCTCCTCCCCTATCCCTAGTTAGACAGGAACTAATTAAAATAAGGGTACAAATACCCCCTCCTACCTCCTCCTCCCTCAGTCTAGTTAACAGCAATATCCCTGGGTGGGACCTTTGTGCTGCCATGGCCTATGACCAGGAAAAGAAAATTACGGTAAGTATGAGTAAATTTATCTCTTTCCTGGCCATATCCATGGCAGCACAACAATGGGTAATACCCAAGCTAAAACCAAGGGAGGGAAAGAAAAACTCAGACACATTATTATATAATGCAAGTGTATTGTCACAAACAACTCAATGTGATGAACAAAAAGAATAGTAGTTAATCCTTTGAGGCAGAAAGAACTGATCTGCCAAATCCATCGTATTGGCCAGCTCTTACATCTAAACGATAATGTCTAATAAATGTATTAGAAGATGACCAAGTGGCTGCTTTGCAAATCAGTTCTGTAGAAACCTTTGCTGCAGCTGCCCAGGATGAAGAAAGGGAACGTGTAGAATGAGCTTTCAAACCTTCAGGAACACTAGTTTTAGATGATCTATAAGATAGGATAATGGCCGAAACTATCCATCTGCTGATAGTGGCTTTCGAAGCTTGCAGACCCTTCCTAGGGCCATTAGGAATAACAAAAAGCCTTTCCGAAATACGCCATTCTGAGGATCTTTGTATATATATCTTAAGACATCTTACTAGGTCGATAGCATCATCATCAGCGTTTTCCCTGTTATTAGATTCTTCTGTACTTAATGCTGGAAGGATTATTTCTTCATTCATATGGAACTCTGAAGTTACCTTAGGGCGGAATTCTGGAACCGTTCTCAGGATGACTCTGTCCTTATGAAATATCGTAAAAGGTTCTCGAGCCGAAAGAGCCTGAAGATCAGAAACCCTTCTACCAGAGGCTAGGGCTACTAGTAGAACTGTCTTGATCGTGAGAAGATGACAGGAAATTGATGCCATAGGTTCAAAAGGATCTGCTTTAAGAGCCTTCAGGACCAGAGGGAGATCCCATGGCGGAGTAATAGACTTAATGGGTGGCTTGATCTTGAGGACTGCAGTCAGAAATCTAGCTATGTCTGGATCCAGTGCCCATCTATGATTAGTTCAAGCAGAGAGGGCTGAAATATGTACTTTTAGAGTGTTATAACTCAATCCCTTCTCTAGACCCATAGGCGTGCGCACGGGGTGTGCCGGGTGTGCCTGGGCACACCCTAATCCCCGTGCGCACGCCTATGGTTTGAGTCCTGCAGGAACAGTGTTCCTGCACTTTTTTTGAGCAGGAACGCTGTTCCTGCAGGCACTCAGTGTCCCCTGTCTCACCTCTTGCCCCTGTCATGGGAGGGTAAGAGGTGATGATTCCCCCCCACCCTGCAGCTCAGCCGCGGCGAAGGAGCTCTCTGCTCTCTGCTTCCTCTCGCCGCGCGCTGATGCCGGGAGCCGGAATATGACGTCATATTCCGGCTCCCAGCTACAGCAGACAGCCCGCGCGGCGAGAGGAAGCAGAGAGCAGAGAGCTCCCTCGCCGCGCGCTGAGCTGGAGAAAGGCGCCTGCCCCACTGGACCCCAGGGACAAGTCCACCAGCACTCCAGGTAGGAGGCTGGGTGGACATTTAAAAAAAAAAATTAAAATATAATAATTTGTGTGTGTCTGTGAGTGTGTGAGTATGTGTCAGTGTGTGTGTGTCAGTGTGTGTGTGTGTCAGTGAGTGTGTGTGTCTGTGGTGTGAGTGTGTGTCGGTAGTGTGTGAGTATGTGTCAGTGTGTGTGTGTGTATACATGAGTGTGTGTGTGTCTGTGAGTGTGGTGTGTGTGTGTCAGTGAGTGTGTGAGTATGTGTCAGTGTGTGTGTGTGTCTGAGGTGTGTGTGTCTGTAGAGTGTGTGTCAGTGAGTGTGTGAGTATGTGTCAGTGTGTGTGTGTGTCTGTGAAGGTGTGTGTGTGTCTGTGTGTGTCAGTGAGTGTGTGAGTATGTGTCTGTGAGTGTGTGTGTGTCAGTGTGTGTCTGTGAGTGTGTGTCTGTGATTGTGTGTAAATGTGTGAGTATGTGTCTGTGAGTGTGTGTGTCAGTGAGTGTGTGAGTATGTGTCAGTGTGTGTCTGTGAGTGTGTGAGTGTGTGTCAGTGTGAGTGTGTGAGTATGTGTCTGTGAGTGTGTGTGTCAGTGAGTGTGTGAGTATGTGTCAGTGTGTGTGTGTCAGTGAGTGTGTGTGTGTGTGTCAGTGTGTGTCTGTAAGTGTGTGAGTATGTGTGTGTGTGTGTGTGTCTGTGAGTGTGTGTGTCTGTGAATATATATATGTATGTATGTATATATATATATATATATATATATATATATATGTGTATATATATATATATATATGCACACACACACGCGGCGTATGTTTGTGCTTTAGGGTGCACACCCTAATGCAATAGGCTGCGCACGCCTATGTCTAGACCTGATTGTAAAAAATCAAGAATGTCAGTAGTTGAAGGGTTCAAAATATCAAAGGGCCTTGAACTGGCCCATGAAGAAAATACATCCCATATTCTGTAGTAAGTGGATGAAGTGGACTTCTTCCTTGCTTGAAGAAGTGTCTCGATAACTGATCTCGAAAATCCCTTGTTCTTTAACCCATCCCTTTCAAGTACCATGCCATCAGATGAAGGGATGCTGGGTTTGGATGATGAATTGGACCCTGATGTAACAGGAATGGGACAACTGGAAGGCGCCATGGATCCTTCTTGCACAGACTTAGTAGGAGCGGAAACCAAGGTCTGTGAGGCCAAAAAGGGGCTATTAGAATCAGTGATGTCTTCTCTTGTCGTAGTCTCCTTAGCAGAGGGAAGATGAGGGGTTTCGGAGGAAAGGCATAAGCCAGGTCGAAGTTCCAACTGCATGTCAATGCGTCTCTTCCTATGGCCTGGGGATCTGGAATTCTCGAAAAGAAGTTCTTGACTTTTCTGTTGTTGCTTGTAGCCATTAGATCTATCTGGGGAAGGCCCCATTTTTCTACGATCTGTAGAAATATTATGTCTGATAGACTCCATTCTCCCGGGTCTAATCTCACCCTGCTGAGAAAGTCTGCCACAGAATTCTGAGTTCCTGGGAGATGTATTGCAGAGATATTCTCCAAATTCATTTGAGCCCAGGCCATCAAAGGTTTCATAAGTTTCATCATTCTGCAACTTCTTGTCCCTCCTTGGTGATTTATATATGCCACAACTGTGGCATTGTCTGTCCTGATCTTGACCCATTTGTGAAGTAAAAGTTGCTGGAAGTGCATTAGAGCCTTGAAAACTGCCAGAAGTTCTAGAAGATTTGAAGGGGTGTCGGAGGTTGAAAATGCCCATTTCCCTTGAACATAGTTGTCTTGAAGGTGGGCTCCCCAGCCCCATTGACTGGCATCTGTGGTGATGATGATCCATGGAATGTTTCCTAAGGGATAACCTCTGAAGAGAGACTCTTTCTGGGTCCACCACCTCAGGGATTCTTGTACGTGAGGAGGGATCACTATAGGTTGAGACAGATTGCCCTTGAATTGAGAAAGGAAATTCCTTTGGAAAGGCCTCATTCTCCATTGGGCCCATCTCGTAAGTCCTATGGTGGAGGACATTGATCCCAGGAGGCTCATAGTTGTCTCTGCTGAGGAAACACTGGATGCTAACATGTCTTTGACCTTTTCCCGAATTTTCATACCCCTTTCTGGGGACAGT